GTTACCCAGGCTGGAGTGCAATGGCGCGATCTCGGCTCACCGCAACCTCCGCCTCCCGGGTTCAGGCAATTCTCCTGCCTCAGCCTCCTGAGTAGCTGGGACTACAGGCTTGTGCCACCACACCCAGCTAGTTTTTGTATTTTTAGTAGAGACAGGGTTTCGCCATGTTGTCCAGGCTGGTCTCAAACTCCTGACCTCAAGTGATCCATCTGCCTCGGCCTCCAACGTGCTGGGATTACAGATATGAGCCTGCCCAACGAACTATTTTTCAACATATGGAAAATAATGGTAGAAATGAAACAGCTGTGGGACTTCTTTGGCTATTTTTGTACTATGCTAAAATGTTAGCTACTGCCTATGTCGGCACACACCTGAGAGCAGCTGCGATTTAAGGGTTTTTTGTTTTCGCTTTCCCCCCGGGTATGATGTAGCTGCTCCCCCGCCTCATCCAAGTAGACAAGTTCATGGAGGATAAACATGACAGCTGCCGTTTCTTTTGTAGCTGGTTCCAGGGAATATCCACTGAATATAGGAAAGATTGTCAGTCTCCGTGTGCCGCCGGACGTGGGAAATCCCTGGTTCTGGTAGAGCTTTCCGCCTTATTCTCAGAGGAAACCATTTCAATGGTTTTGTGAAACCTTAAAGGTCTGGGGTTTGTAGGACAATCTTGAGCAGAGCAGGTAAAGGTGAAGGGAGTGGAGCCCAGACGTGCTGCCTGGAGGGAAACCTGTCACCTGGAGAGGACACAGCACAGGGGACACCCAGCCGCCCTCACCACTCAGTCCCACACATCCATGTTAGTGGTAGTCATGGCTCTTGTATTTCCAGCATGTTGAGGCTATTGAAGGAAATATGAAGATTCATGCATCTCAGGAAAAGCAAAAAATGTATTAACAGCAAGAGTAGAAATTCACTTGCCTGGAAGATACCATGTAACATATATAGCATATTTATTCCTCAGCGCCACTGTGGGTGGGTAGCAGCTAAGCCCAAGATTGTTGTGAGGTTTGAATAGGTCGATGTGTGAATCATCAATAAAGTAACATCAATCATTTTGTTCCTGATTAATATCTTTTGCCATTTTGGTATGTGAAGTACTTTAAAGAAGCTTATTATTCTGAAAACCAAAGTCTGGAGAGTTCCAGTAGCAAAACAGAGAAAGTCAGTGGCCAATCTCAGTGTACAAATAATTCACCTCTGGCATAAAGACAAAGAATTTCAGAGGGGAAGGAAGCTCTTAAAGATTACGTCTCTTCCTACTTCTATAATGAGGGCTGTTGTTCAAAAATGGAGCAGTTTATCCAGGATCACATAACTGTAGGTGATAGAGCCCAAACTGGAGGCTGTGGCTGAGTCTTCCGACTCCTTTCTGGACAGTCCCCACCTGCATAAACTCAGACCTTTACCAAGAACAGTGCAGCCCCATCTGAAAGAGGCAGTGATCACCCAGCATTTCTTGGACTTGTCTGCCAGGTCCACTGAGTGCAGAAGACAGTGTGCTGGCTCCTGGGGCCTATGGGCCCCACCAGGAGCAGCCTTGTTAGCCAAAGCCTTCTTTGAAGGCTGCCATCTTACTGTAAAATTTCATGATAATTTCACAGTCTACTTCATAATTTGTCTGAGTTAATTTCGATGGAAACATGATGTTTCAAATAACTAGTTAAGCTTTGGCCTCTAACTTTATGCCCTCCCAATCTTCACAGTGTCCTGAGCACCAGACACCCAGACCTGTGCTCTGAATCGTGCCTGGTCTGGTTCATAGAGCATGTCGGAGAGGGGCAGCTCCACGCTAGAGTTCTGAAGCTCTGGATCTCAACCCTGTCTTTTTACAAGTTCCTTAACTTCTTCCTTGCTAACCTGAAATGAAATGCATAGGTGATGAAATCAACCAGTGCACAGAATTTCAGGTCAATATAACATTTCCTTAAAAAATAAAATACAGCCGGGCGCGGTGGCTCAAGCCTGTAATCCCAGCACTTTGGGAGGCCGAGGCGGGTGGATCACGAGGTCAAGAGATCGAGACCATCCTGGTCAACATGGTGAAACCCGTCTCTACTAAAAGTGCAAAACATTAGCTGGGCATGGTGGCGCGTGCCTGTAATCCCAGCTACTTGGGATGCTGAGGCAGGAGAATTGCCTGGACCCTGAAGGCGGAGGTTGCAGTGAGCCAAGATCGTGCCATTGCACTCCAGCCTGGGTAACAAGAGTGAAACTCCTTCTCAAAAAAAATAAAATAAAATAAAATAAAAAATAAAATACAGGTAGTTTCTAGTAACATAGAAAGAATTTTAATATAAAAATGCTCCAGACCAGGTATCCCAGCAGTTGAATGCAGTAGGGAGACTTGCACACACCCATGCCTGATGTCGCAGGGAGGCTGACACAGGTGTATTCACTGAGACCCACACACCACCCTCATGTTGCTGTCTATGATTGTGACATTCTGAAAGGGGGACTAACTCTCAGGAAAGTTCTGAACGAAACCAAGTGTCATGTTCCCTCAATTTCCATGTCGATTGCATTCCTATAATATTTCATGTATATTCGAACTGTATAAAACATATTTGGAGTTTATATGTAAGTTGGAATCAGTTTGTAAATCCAAAAATAAAAAAAAACAGTGTTTTTTCTACCTTCCTGAGTAGGAAAGGGAAAAGCTCTTCCCACTGAGGACCTGTCTGAATGCAGGATGATTGGCAGACCTGGCCCTGCTCCCCACCCCCTGCGATACTCTTAGCTTCTTCCCAATCTTTGTGACATCCCAATCCCCCCAACATTTCCAAAATGCCCCCTAAGTCAACACTCCTGCCACTGCCAGCTGCCACCCCAGAGGTCCCTGTGCCTGGTAACGATGTTTCCCATGGTCATGGCCGCAGGGAAGGCTTCCTTGTGGTTATTGGGGGACTTCCTGAGATTGCCTAGATGAGCATTTCTTTTGGAACTGAGATACAATGCACATGGCCTCTGGGGGACACGGGGCCCTGAGCTTCCCCTGTGTTTCGGAGGGGTAGCCTTTGCTCTCCGCTCTCATCCATGTCTGTGCAGGAGAACATCACCCGGTCCGTTTGGTTGCTGTGAATAACAAACTATTTTTAGAGGCTGCTGCATCTGAGGGTTGGGGGGTTTACATAGAAAGCAAAATTTGGTGGCTGTGGCCACTTCCTGTAGCAAGGCGGCTCAGGAAAGGGATCCCGAGTCACAGCCTGGGAACACCATGGCCCCTCCGGGAGCTTGATTCCTTTTTAGCTCAGGGGAAGAATTGCACAAAGACAGAGGCCCCTGCTTGTTTCTGAACAAACTGGCTTTGTGATCACCTCAGGCTTCGGCTGCATCGTATTCCTGTTAGGTTCACATGCGTGAACTTGAACTCCATCCTTAACACTTGTCCAGAAAGGGTATAAACTAGACTGGTGACATATCATGAGGTCTGGGGAAAAAATGCTGCTGCTTTTTCACTTCTGCTTGATGCTCAAACCTGCAGGCTGAAATGAACGTGTGTAATTAATAGGAGAACTCCCTCCTGCTTGTAGAGTGCTTTACAGCTGGCCAAAGGCTTCTCTCCCTCAACAGCCCCATGGGGCATCATTTCCATCTGACATCGGAGGAGAGCTGCTGTTAATGGCCCAGTCCTCTGTCCGTTGGCCCACTGGGTGTCCCTATTGTGCGCTAACAGACTCCTAGCAAACAGTGGGCAGGGCAGCCTCGAATCTGCTCATGAGCAGTGTGCCCTAGGTCTCCCCGGGCTCTGCAGGGGGAAGGGGAGCGGCCTCCGGCTCACAGGAGGTGCTTTCCAGGCTGCAGGGCTTTCTCAGCCTGGGTGGAAGGAGTGACATCAGAGCATTTCTTAGGAACTGCCTACCCTAAAGCGGTGGCTCATAAACCCCTTCCAGCTTCTGTGTAGAATTCTGGACCCAAGGGTATTACTACAGAGTTTTAAAGCAGAGTAAGAATGTTTCCTGACTTCAGGGTGAGAGGCCCTGGGATCTGTAATTCCACGGTAGGCTGGAATCCCAGGAAAGCTTCAATGCTCAGGAAATACATGAGCAATGCCAGGATCCCCTGAAGGAGTGTGGGGATTTTTAAGCAAGCTGACCAGCCAGACTCCGCTGCACCTGCTGTCCTCTGCCGGCAGTCAGGGCCCCTGCCCCACCAGTGTCAGTTGTGTTTCTGTGCTTTGAAGAAGACCTCCCGGTAGGAGCCACAAGAAGGATACAAATGCCTTTAGCGCCCCCGACGCCGCTGGAATTGGGTTCAGCGTGTTGGGTAGTAACCCCACCGCCTACAACGCCTCCAGCACAGGCTGAGGCCACGTGAGGATGGAAGCACAAGCGGGCCAAGCCAGGAGGGCACGAGGGAGGGCTCGCCAGTCTGCCCTCTGTTGGGGCTTTCTCCTTGTGTCCTGGTCAATAACTTCTCTCTTTGGTTCTCCTGGACCTCTGCCCCCAGCCTGAGCTAGGCTGTCCCTGAGTTCCCTGATCTGGAATCATCTTTGGGTGACTGTCTTCTTGCAGCTGGGAATCTCTGGGGCTCTGAGCAGGAGACCCGTGGGGGGCCCTGGGAGAACAGGCCTGGGTTGGATGGTCCACTTCACTGCCCTGTGTGCCCTGCCCAGTAGAAGCCATTTCTGCTGTGTGGTTCTGTCTAAAACTAGAGCCACTCAGGGCCCTCTGCATGGTGTGGGGACCTGTCACACAGTAACTTCTAACGTGCTTTTATCTGTGGCTCAGGATGGGGATGGTGACTTCTTATGCAGTCTTCTGAAGGCCTCTCCAGCCTGGCTCCCGAGATGTCACACACGGGTCTGTGCAGCCCGGAGAAGACCCTGCAGTGGGAGAAGAGTCACGTTGATTGTCTGTCTCCCCAGCTGGCTTGTGGGGCAGGCACCTGGTAGAGGGGTCCCCCAGGGAGGTGCCCCCATAGACTTGGATTCCACCTGGCATCGAGGATGTGGCTGGGAGAGGCTGGCTGTCTTCTTCTCCATTTGTTTCGGAGGCCCTGGGAGTCATACGCGTGCTTCCTTGTGTATTTTTAGATCTGTCATCACCGTAAGCACCACCTCCATATCAGAGCACTGTCAGATTCACGTACGGCAAAATGAGACGCAAAAGTGCAACTCTGGAGTCCGGGTTTGTCTTTCTAGGATTAGTACAAGGAGGCAGGTTTGATAGGAAGTGGAATCTTTGTTCCCAGCCATCCTCACCCTCAAGGACTATCTTGCTTTAAGACCCAGTTCCTGTAAAACTCTGTCTGTGGGGTCCTGCCCTGAACTGGAATGGCTCTGGACCAACAGTTGTGAGCGTTCCTGAGAAGCCAGGGAGCCTGGATCTTGTCAGGGGAGCTGGGGTCAGCTCCTCCCTCTGCTCCATCTTCACCCCGCAGGCAGCAGCAGGAACTGAGGGGCAGCGCTGTAAAACCCAGCAAGGTCGCCTTCTAGCAGCAGAAAGCATGGGTTTGGGTTTTGGGGCTCTCATTTCCTTCCGCTCTTTCTTTCTTTTTAAATTTTTGCTATTTATTAGGAAACATAGCAACTGTACCCAGCCATGCGTGGCCTGCTGCACAGCAGGGGCCCTTATCTTGAGTGAGCCACATGCTAGGCAAGGAGGGGGCAGGGGGAGGGGCTTGTGGGAACCCAGATCTGGGGTGGGACTGAGCCCCCACCTCCCAGCCTCAACAATTGTTAGCTTGCAGCCATTTACACCTCACCCAGGTTATTTGAAGGAGTCAGAGGGAGATGATTTCACTGCACTTTTAAATGTTTTAGTACCTCGGCGTGTGGGCAGAGGAGGGAGGCTTCAGGGTGTAGGGCCCAGGAGCAGGGAGCACTTGCTCTTTCCCTGTTGGCTCCTGTAGGGAAGGGACAGAGCAGCCCCCAGGGACCCTGGTGAGGGCCATGCCAAGAAGCCACTGGGATCCTGTTCTAATCTAATCAGTGGAGATTTCAGCAAGCCCGGATGTGAGGAAAGAGTGATTCAACCTGCAGGCCTTCTAGGGTACGTGCAGTCCTGTCTCCTGAGTTCTCTGAAGCCCGTGCAGTGTTTGCTTTGTATCCTCAACTCCACGGCACCAGGCTTGATCCGCTGCAGCCCATCCCAACCCCGTCCCCATGCTGGAAGTGGCCTCGCAGCTCGCTCTCCCCACCCCATATCTGCTCCCCGCATTTCAGCCAGAGAGCCCTGCTTCTGAAACAACAGTCAGATTCCTCTGTGTTCTTAAAGCCCTTCGGTGGTTCTGAATTCTTCCAAGATGAGGTTCTAGATATCGAGGCTGAGGGTGAGGGTCTGCACCCCAGACCACCGCACGCCTCGGCACCGGCTCCTGGTCGCAGCCACCCAGGCCCTGACTCTCTCCTTCTGTTTCAGGGTCTGGCTTAGGGCTTTAGTCCTGTGGGGTTAGGTCAAGTTCCCCAGAGCAGCCCCCGCCCCCGCCCCACGTTTCTTCCCTCCGTGTGGTCCTCGTCGCATAGACACTGTCTCCAGGTGCTTTGCCTATGTCCCAGGAGTCTGGGCACCCAACTGCATTGCGGAAATCGCTCCCACTGTCCCAAGCGGTGCTGCTGCATGCATTCCTGTGGCCTCCGCGGGCCATGGACCAGCCCACAGGCTACTCACAGAAAGTGACAGGATGTGTTTGGAAACTCTTCAAGCAGTCCGAATGACCGTGGCCCATCATGAGATTTTATATTTTACAAAAGTGTCAGTTGGTGAAGGATTTGTCCTGCGCCACCGGAGCACGGACCTGAGGCTCCCCAGGCCCCGAGAACCCTGACCGCAGTCAGCACTCTCCCCGGTGACTCCATGGTGATCAAGTCAGCCATCGTCATCTGCTGGGCTCTGTCAGGCTGCTGTGCCGTTCTTAGCAGCGTCTCTGTTTGGAGAATAATTTTGTTGAAACCCTGCAGATTTTCTTTTCTTTTTTTTTTTTTTTCCCCAAGACAGAGTCGCCAGGCTGGAGTGCGGTGGTACAATCTCGGCCCACTGCAACCTCCACCTCCTGGGTTCACACAATTCTCCTGCCTCAGTCACCCAGGTAGCTGGGATTACAGGTGCATGCTAGCTCGCCCGACTAATTTTTTATATTATTAGTAGAGATGGGTTTGACCACGTTGGCCTGGCTGGTCTCAAACTTCTGACCTCATGATCTGCCCGCCTTGGCCCCCCAAAATGCAGGGATTATAGGTGTGAGCCACTGTGCCCAGCCAACTCCATGGATTTTCTTTCAGACATCCCAAGTGAGTGGCAAGAGTTATTCTGTGGCTAAGTGTGTAGTTTTGTGCTCATGAAGATGGTCATGCGTAGGTCTTTTGCCAGTTTAATTGCTGGCTTATATATTTGTGGGTGTTTAGTTAGGCAGATTCCAAGAATTTCCTATAACTAAATTGCCACTTCTGGTACTGCCAGCACTTTGTTTTCCACATGAGTCACGTGAGGATGGTAAGGGGTGTAGGTGTTCTAGAAGGCGGAGGTTGCAAGGATTTGGAATTGTATTCAGTGACAAATGGATCTTCTCTCTGAATTCGAATGCAAGGTGGAGATCGCCACAGTTGGCCTGTCTGGGAGGTGGGCTTGCTTGTGTCCTCATGAGGAATCAATTGTGTAACGTGGTTCATCCACGTGGTCCCTTTATCAACCCAAGCCCATGTGCCCCCCAGCAAAGGTCATTGCTTTTTAGCCTTTTAATGTCATTATCCCCAAGTGAGGGACAGGGTAGACAGACCTGTTAGGCTGAAGGCAGGCCATGATGAGAACCTTTCCTGGGTGGAGGGCAGGCCCCCCGGGCGCAGCAGAGGTCTGACAGGGCATTGTTTTGGAGGCCTGCGAGTCTGGAGCGGGGACACCTGAGAGGGGCCCCCAGGTGGAATACCGCGTGCTCAGTAGGCGAGTTCTGCAAGGACCTTTGGCCCAAGGCCCACAGAGCTAAGCTGTAGTAGGTTGGGAAGCTGGGCAGGCAGGTGGGGAAGTGGGTGGGCGTGCCAGTGCTTGGGACCCCCCTCAGCTCACAGAGATACTCGCCCTGTGAGAGCAGGAGTCACCTCAGACCTCCTCTCCTTCTGTTAATTATCTGCTACTTGTGTAATAAATATCTGCAACTCAGTGGCTTAGAATAACACACAGTTATGATCTCACAGTTTCTATGGACAGGAGTCTGGGCACATTGGCCAGGCATACTGGTTCGTGCTGGTAATCCCAGCACTTTGGGAGGCTGAGGCAGGTGGATGGCTTGAACCCAGGAGTTTGAGACCAGCCTGGGCAACATGGCAAAACCCCATCTCTACAAAAGATGCAGAAATTAGCCAGGTGTGGTAACACCCACCCTGTAGTGCCAGGTGCTCGGGAGGCATGAGGTTGAACCTAGGAGGCAGAGGTTGCAGTGAGCTGTGATCACGCTACTGCACTCCAGCCTGGGCAACAGAGGGAGACCCTGTCTCAAAGGGAAAAAAAAAAGGAGGCTGGACTCGGCCTCACTGGGTCCCATGCCCCGGTCTCACAAGGCTACAGCCAAGGTGTCTGCCATTCTGGGGTCTTTCTGGAGTTCAGGCTCCTCTTCTGAGCCACAGGTTTGTTGGAAGAATTCAGTTCCTTGCGGTTTAGGACCGAGGCCTCTGTCCCTGCTGGCGTCAGTCAGCCGAGGGCTGCTCTCAGCTCGCCAAGGCCCCTCCCACCAGGCGGCTGGCTTTCTCGACACCAGCAAGGATGCTCTCCGACTTCTAGACCCCCTTTTAAAGGGCTTGCCTGATTAGGGCAGGCCCATAGGATAATCTGTCTTTTGAGCAAGGCAGTCAACTGATGATCTTTATTTTTTAATACTCTTTGCCATGTAACGCAGCCTAATCACCGTGGTGTCATCCATCATGCCCGCTGTCCCACACTCAGTGGGAGAGGGGTATGCAGGGCGTGGACACCAGTGGTGGGGCCTTGGGGACCAACCAGCTGCACTTGTCTCTTCCTCTGTCCCCCTCTGGTGATCTTCCTTCTCCCAGCCCTTTCTGCCTCCTTGTATCTCACCTCTGCTCCCCTTCTTTTTCCCGCCTGGCCTGGCTTCTCTTTTCCCAGCCCCTCCTTTGTTCCTCCATTGCCCCCACCCCCCAAGCTGGTGGCCTATGGCTGTGATGAAAACTCGGGCCTGCTCTGCACTGGCTTAGAAACTGAGCCAGCGGCACAGAGCCACCTGCCTTCCCAGGAAGGGCTGCACTTGGTGCGGCCTTGGTCACTTTGCTGGCCCATTGGTAGGAGGGCACTCTAATGTCTTTCTTTCTCTGTCTCCTCCTTCTTTGCTAGATCTATAGACCCAAGAGGCCTTTCTTTTATTTGAAATAGGGTTTTGCTCTGTCACCCAGGCTGGAGTGCAGTGACACAGTCACAGCTCACTGCAGCCTCAACTTCCCAGACTCCAGTGATCCTCCCACCTCAGCCTCCGCAGTAGCTGGGACCACAGGTGTTTGCTACCATACCTGGCCAATTTTTGTGTGTTGGTAGAGACAGGGTTTTTCCATGTGGCCCAGGCTGGTCTCAAACTCTTGACCTCAAGAGATCCACCTGCCACAGCCTCCCAAAGTGCTGGGATTCCAGGGCTGAGCTACCATGCTTAGCCTAGCCCCAAAAGAGCCTCCACACCATGTAACATGGTCTTGGAAATTAAAAATGGCAGCAAGGTATCAAGATTCTGATATAGTTGTGATTTTTGACACCCCTTGATTTCAAAAACATGGGGTGGATTGATAAAGGTACCAAGGGAATGGAATAAATTCCTCATAAGGACACAAGCCAGCCAACCTCAAGACAGACCAAGTATGGCCAGTTTTCAACTTAGATTAAAATTGAGAAAGAAAATACCTCTGTAATACAGTGTAAGTCTAGGGTGGGAGAGATGGACATCCCTGTCAGAACACATCTCCAGGCCGGGAGCTTGCTGGCCACCTCGGAAGTCCCATTTTAAGATCACCTAGGAGCCAGGTGTGGTGGTGCAGACCTGTATCCCAGCTACTCGGGAGGCTGAGGCAGGAGGGCTGCTGGAGCCCAGGGGGTCCAGGCTGCAGTGAGCTGGGATCACACCTGTGCACAGACACACACACTGCACGCCAGCCTGGGCGACAGGAAAAGACCCCATCCCCAAAAGAAAAAGAAAAATAATGGAAGAAAAAAGAAAAGGTTACACAAGACAACATCTGAAAACTTTATAGAAACACTGGTGGAAGGATTACAGATGTGTTTGCAAAAAAACTTAAGTAGAAAGAGGGTGGGGTTTGTTTGATACCAGAAAACCTGCTTTCAGTAACACTTATGCCATCGACCTCACTGGGCTGTTGCATCACATGAAACAGTGAATAAGCATGTGGTTTGTAAAATGTCTGGGAAGTCGTTTGCAGAAACAGTTCAGATGCCAGGCTCAATCGCCCTCGTGTCCATTCCTGCTCAAGCATTTGAAGCATTCTCACAGAGCAGAATGTGGCAGAACAGCTACAAGTTGAAAAATACTTGTGTGGAGGCTGAATTTTTAATGCAAGGTAGGACTCCAACAGCTAGAGCCATTCTGCTGTGATCGTCATTGTCTCGGGGAAAGACGGGCTCCCAGCACGGCTGGGTTGAAGGGGAAGCTGAGGGCACGTGTGTGCTGAGAAGCAACTAGGTGGGAGTTTCCTGGGGTTACAGTCCCAACTCCACCTCAGCCAGCCCTGTGACCTCAGACGGGTCTGACAGCTTCTCCAGGCCCCCACTTTCCACTCTCTAAAGCGAGGGGTTGAACTGGAGACCTGGAGTAGCATGTAGCTGTTGTCACTCCGCTCCACACATCTGTCAGAGCTCCAGAGGGAGGCTGACTGCCCGGCCCTGCCACTTGCAGGCTGTGTGACCTCAGGCAAGTCACTTGCCCTCTCTGTGTCTTACTTCCCTCATGTTTAAGCTGGGGACGGTAGCAGTCTCTGCCTAATGAGGCTGTTTTGAGGAGTACATGGCATCGTATCCATAAAGCTCATAGAATAGTGCCTGCCCAGCATGTGGAAAAGGCTTGATAAATGGTAGCAATTCTTATAAGTACAATTTCTATCGCTCCTGACCACCCTTTTACTCTGTGAGTCTGGAATTTATTGCTGTATATCTGTTAAACTCTGAACAAGATTTTCTTTCAGCATCATCACTGCTGACCCTGCACTGGGAAGGTGCCCGCTGCCCTGTCCTCTAATAAGATGTCCTGTCTGTTTCAGGCGGAGGCCCGGCTCGCCGCAAAACGCGCAGCACGTGCGGAGGCTCGAGAGATCCGCATGAAGGAGCTGGAGCGGCAGCAGAAGGAGGTAACGCTTGGGGCTCCTTGTTGGGTCTTTTCACGGTGATTTGCGTTTTGGGTCCAGCGTGCCAATGCAGCCACCTGCTGCTGCAGACGCACCTGGCTGTCTCATGTTGCTCATGGTCGGAGTGCGTTTGCACCTGTGACTTCTGCCCAAGGTCAGGCTGGGAGTGCACATAGCACAGATGCCAGGCGTGCCTGCTCAGACCTGCTGCCTCCTAAAAGGGACTTAGCAGCCTCTTGCCTGCAAAGATCATGCTTTCCAGCTGCAAGGAGCCAAAATGTGCAGGGTCTGAGCTTTAATGTCTAACTGTCGTACTAGAATCTAAATCCTCTGGATTAACATGGAAAAGAAGAACAGATCAATGAGTTTCTAGGCTGGCCAATTTATTTTATTTAAAAATATTTCCCCTGTGGTTTGTACAGTGTTGATCATGCATGGGCTGCAGGTTTCAGGATATCTGGAGCCCGTGTGTGATAGAGAGAGAATGAACATGATGGATGACATAGCCAGGAAGAAACTTGCCCCTGGGAAAATGGCGAGCAATGTGTTGACACACCTGCTCATGGCCTTTGCAGCTTATTTTCATCATCTTGAGCTGGAACCAGGAGTCATTTCTGACAGCATGAGGGCTCTTTAACTCACAGTTATGGTGTGACCTTTTCTGTGAGCTCAGAGGCACAGAAGCCGAGACCCCCTCAGTCTGTGCTCTCCCGTGGGCCATGCCCTACGGGGCCAAGGAACCATCCATCCCGAGCCCACCCCCATGGGCTTTTCTTCTTAAGAAGATTTGATTTGATTTTGCTAGACAGAAGTAACCAGCTGCCTTCCTACACAGGTTCATGTTTGGCTTGCATAGCCAAATTTTAAAAGGCGACCCAGTGTGTAAAACCAGTGCGATTTCAGATAAAAATCTGAATTTCCAGATTCTCTTACGGTGGTTGTAGATTCTGCCATATTCCCAGCAAAGACCAAGCCGGCCACATTCCCTGCAGGGGCGGGGCCCTGCCACCGGTCTGACGTGCTCATTGCCCTCCGCTGCTGGGCGTTAGCCACTCTGGGTAGAGTCTTCAGGCAGAGGCTGGGCAGTGTCACCGAGCCCTGGGAACCATCCTGCAAGCTCACACTCCAGTATCCATAGTGGTTGCTGGAGGCCACTAGAAGGAATAGTGCTTTTATTCTGAACTGGTTTTTGAATATATATATATCTATATTTTGCTGTTGTTGAGATGGAGTCTCGCTCTGTCACCCAGGCTAGAATACAGTGACGTGATCTCTGCTCACTGCAACCTCCGCCTCCCGGGTTCAAGCAATTCTCATGCCTCGGCCTTTCAAGTAGTTGAGATTACAGGTGCACCACACCATGCCTGGTTACTTTTTGTATTTTTAGTAGAGACAGTGTTTCGTCATGTGGGCCAGAGTGGTCTCAAACTCCTGACCTCAAGTGATCCTCCTGCCTTGACCTCCTGTGCTCCCAAAGTGCTGGGATTACAGGCATAAGCCACCACACCTGGCTTAAATATATCTATTTCAAATGACAAAATCTCAAGTGCTTTTTCACACTGCCCAGTGTCAGTTTTTCCGTAGAATGTGTCTGTTCCTATCTCAGTAGACACTTTCCAGTTCCCCGTGGACAGGACACTGCTGGCCCCTTCCATCTGTTTTAGAAACCGAATAGCAGCAGGCCGGTAAGGTGGTTAATTCGACGGGCAGTGGCCACCGGTTCTTGGGACATATCACCGTGTGAGCGGACGGCTGCCTGGTTCTCCAGAGCCAGAAGCCACCCCCTCTGGCTACTGTGTGGCATTCCAAGGCTTATCGGGTTTTAACCCACTTCTCCTGGCTTCCCAATAGGGCCCCAGTCTTTTATTATTATTATTATTAAGGCCATAAAATAGTTGTAAAAAGAATTTCCCGAAGTATTTTGTTTCTCTGCCAGGCTTTGCACGGTTGGTGGGACTGTAAGGCCCCTGCCTGCCCTGTTCATAGCTCCTGTGTCTCGGCTCTGTTGCTACAGCAGAGCCAGGGACTCAGAGGGTGCACTTGGCCGTGAAGCTGTGGGCGGGCCCTGCCCAGCTTTCAGGATGGTGTCTGTCATCATTTCATCATTTTTCTCATGTACAGTAGATATAAGGAAAGTTACTTTCATCAAGAATACAAATGTGGAATATCTACAAAATCAAGGTGAAAAAATAACTATAGTATGTACATAGTACAGACTCTACTATATGTATGTACATACACATCTATCTTCTAAATTAAACATTTAGATGAAAACATATTGACTGTATTCTTCCTTTTTCTTTTTTTTTGAGACAGAATCTTGCTCTGTCACCCAGGCTGGAGTGCAGTGGTGCAATCTTGGCTCACTGCAGCCTCCCTCTCCTGGGTTCAAGCAATTCCCCTGCCTCAGACTCCTGAGTAGCTGGGATTGCAGGTGCCTGCCATCATGCCCAGCTAATTTTTGTATTTTTAGTAGAGACAGGATTTTACCATGTTGGCCAGGTTGGTCTCGAACTCCTGACCTCAGGTGATCTGCCCGTCTTTGTCTCCTAAAATGCTTGGATTCTAGGCGTGAGCCACCGCACCCGGCCCATATTGTATCTTAATTATGGATGGAACTGATTTAAATATATACATATTGATATAAGCAGCTTGTTACAAAGTTGTTCGGCAAAAGTTCTTGATTTAAAAAGTAACTAAGATGAATTAAGGCAAGAAATCATCTATTTGAATGGCCTTCTTTAAAAGCAAAGCATCCCTTTATTCCTTTGAGTCAAAGGTACCCCTCTTCTGTTGCATTTTAGTTGTACAACGTAAGAGCAATCTGCTGCTGGACTCCCGTATCTCTGTTGTAATATTCCAAGCCACACAAAAAGAAAATTAAAAATAATCCGAGTGGTGGCATGTACCTGTAGTCCCAGCTACGCAGGACACTGAGGCAGAAGCATTGCTTAAGCCCAGGAGCTTGGAGTAATGGTGGTGCCTTCATGGTCCCCCTGCATAGCCACTGTACCCCAGCTGGGGCAACATAGTGAGACCCCCATCTCTTTCAAAAAGTCAAAAAATAATAAGTAGTTGCTACTCCAGATAGGAAACCAAGCCTTTGTCATTTTATTTCAGTATCGTAAGAAAGGCATGCGGAGCAGCCCTCATTGGTGCCTCTGATGAGCACGGGCTTTGCAGAGAACATCCAATAAGATCTGGGAAGTCTGATGTAAAATGCTGTGGCTTGTCCTCTTCAGCACGCGTTTAGGTGTCATTTGCTTAGTTGGTCACATTCGAATTTTGAAATTGTTCTCCCTACAGCATGGTTTTATCATAAAGATATTTCAGAGAGTCACAGGAGCCAAAATGTCTCATCCTGTTGCAAATTCCGTGGAACGTTCACCGCCAAGAGTGGTGGTTTTGGTCTGTGCTCTCAGATAGCAGGGACTGGAGAAGGGTGTGGTGTCCCTTGCGGGCAGCACCTTTGGCCATCGTCACCTTTTGCACAGTCCTCTGTGGATCTACAGCCTTGGCTTTCTCATCACTGAGGCCTGCACTTCCACACTCACGTGGCTTGTGGCTGTGACACAAGGGGTATGTCATGGGTGCCACTGCAGACTCCTGCCTGGGGTTGGTCATGGACCAGGACCCAGAGCCACCTGAACTTACCAGGTTGTGCAACAAGAGCCTGGGAAGGTGGGGGATGTGTCGGGAGGGGCAGAGAAATGAACACAGCGAAGACGGTGAGTGGGGACAGCAAGTGAAACAGCTCTACGGGGGGGAAGCCACTCTTTGTGGCAGCAGAGGACGGACGTGGCAGACAGGAAGCTGCCCTGGAAGGCAACAGCCAGACGGGGAAGGGCCGGCCCAGTCAGCCCAACGCAGCGAGTTCCTAACAATGGCAACTGTGCCTTCATGAATTTCAGGTCTTTGCAAGATGACAGCATTGTTGTTTAAAGTTTATGTCTGCTTCTTCTAAAAAGGTATTGAAAGATCTTCAATCAGAGAGAGGTGTATTTTGTGACTAGTCAGAGAAGCCTGCGGGGGGGCGGGGAACATCCCAGAACCCCTGCCATGTGGCAGAGCTGGGCTAGGGGCTGTCACCTGCTGATGGTGATGGGCATCTTCACGAACTTTACAGGTGAGAAAAACAGGACTTAGGGAGATAGTTTTTCCCGAATCTAAGAAAATGACCAAGCCAAGATTCAAACTGGATCTGACCAGATGCAAAGCCTGTGGTCTTCCTAGCACACCCCTCTGTCTCAAAATCAGTCATGTAACCAACACTACAAACAAGGCAGAGGAGGATGGAGTGAATCTGTGGACCATGGGGTTGAAGTTAGCGTCGAGGATGCTGGCACCCACAGCCAGGAGGGAATAGAATGATCCACATAATCCTGGTCACTTTCCAAGTGGAAGCATGCCTTGAAAAAGAAAGTTGTCCTTGGTGCTGTATTTGAGGCACAGTAACATGAAACATAAAATAGACAATTTTGTTAGAATTGTCTATAAATACAGAAGCAGTAGCTGTTCATCTAGCTGTGCCTTTATTTGACCCAAAAGGTGGGATAGAGGCTAGGAGGATTGTACACGTGTGTATATGGGTTTATGTGCATGTGTGTGTGTGTGTGCATGTGTGTGTATATGTGTGTACATGTGCATGCATGTGTGTGCACATGTATGTGGGTCTGTGTGTGTGCATGTGCGTGTGTGTGTGCACACATGTGTGTGTGGGTTCATGTGTGTGCATGTGCATGTGTGCAGGTTTGTGTGTGTGCATGTGCATGTGCCCATGTGCGGGTTCGTGTGTGCATATGCGTGTGTGTGTGTGTGCGGGTTCGTGTGTGTGCATGCGCGTATGTACATGTGCAGGTTTGTGCGTGCATGTGCGTGTGTACGTGTGCAGGTTCGTGTGTGTGCATGTGCGTGTGCAAGTGTGCAGGCTCGTGTGTGTGCATGCACGTGTGTATGTGTGTGGGTTCATGTGTGTGCATGGGTGTGTGCACATGAGCATGTGCATATGCATCCAGAGGGAAGAGAGTCCAGCTGGTGGGGTCTGAGCTTTCAGGTCTTCAGCCCATGCCTGGAGGATTTAGGAAGGTGCACCCACCACCTCCCTCACAGTCTTCTTTGCATATCACAGCACTGGGCCTGGCTATTATTAGAACCAGTGAACACAATTTGAGGTTATACCATCTGGTAGCTTGGGGCACTGACATTTTAAATTGTTGATTAAGGGGAAATGAATACGTTTTGGAAGACCAGTGTTTAAAGTGTAGGGTTGATATTTTGGTGTAAAACTTGAGAAACCTGATCCCTGTTTTCATCTGGGTCACAAGCCATCCCATTTGCATGCAGGCGTTTCTGAGCAGGCTGAGGGTTTTCTTGAAGGGGCTGCTCTGAGCACACTGAGAAGGGCAGGAAGTTGACCAGGGTTTGTGTTCCCCAACGTAAGCATGGAGCGTGTAGAGAGGGGAGGTGGCAAGGAGACACCAGTGGCAGGGGCAGCCCTGTCACCACGGCATTCTCAGACCTCCAGGCCAGCTCCCGCCCCCTGGAATGGCTCTCTTCAGCACACAGACAGCGAGAGCCCACTACAGCGTACACTAGCTGTGTTCCAGGGACTGGTTGAAAGGATATGAGCTCCTTTTTAATGGATTTGTTAAGGGAGAATAGTGGACATGTTCTTGGGAAATTCAAGTAAACCTTGAACTTCGTAGGGAGAACCTACACTGATAGAAAAACAATGGTGATCGGGGTATCCCTTTTCTTGCTGCTGACTGGATAAACATTTTGGTTAGAGATGCTGTTTCTTACAGTCATAATGTTGGATATATTCACGTGTTCCCCATGTAAGACTAGAAATGCCAGCTTCCTGGTCTTGCAGCTTTGGCAGTACTTTGAAGAATGCCTGATATGATCAATGTTTTAATAAATGAATGAATAAATATGAGTAGCTGTCTCAGTTTTATCTCGTGAGTACTGCAAAGTTAAGAGAAACCTCCGAAGCAAATGAATATGTCAATGTATCATAATGACCTCCTTTAGGAATATTTCTGTTATATTCTAATGATCACAGAATTTGGCTGGAATGTTCCTGGTATTCTGTATGTGTCTCTATGAATCAAAACATCAAAGCCTCTTTCTTCATTATTTGTGAATTTGAACAGTTAACTTTCCAATTAAGTTTCTGTACTTTTTGGTTATACTTTTATTACTGCAAAATGAATTTTGAATTAAAGATGAAGGAAGTACTTTTTCTCATTGATGGCAATGGGTTATACAGACTTCTGTATTGGAATAATAGCAGTATTTTTGGTAGAGATTCGTGTGGGTGTACCCCTGTTTCACCAATGTATCTGAAATGGAACGTAAAGTAAGTGATAAAATTACAAACTCTTGTCAGTGGGACCTCACGTTTCCTTATTCACATTTTACTGGTATTCGGTGTTTCTTTCCCAGAATGGCTTTGATTCATATGTCTAGTTACTTACAGAACCTTTCATTCTGATGTTACTGTTTCTGTAATTGGATTTTATATTTCTTTTTTCTTTTGTCCTTCTCTATAGATCTATCAGGTCCAAAAGGTAGGCTCTTCCTTCTTTATTTCCTAACTTGCATGGACTGTTTTTTCCTTACCAAGGGCCTGGTCACCTTTCAGAAATAACACCTTGCATTGAAGATAGCACAGAAGTTCTTACTGTTTATTTTACTACTTTGTGTATGAATTTGTTTGAACAGGAATGACTAGATCCTCATCCTACCCCACTCAAAGCAGCAGTCAGACACATTTCTGTGTACTGAATGCTTTTCTCATCTGCATTTTTCTCTGGAAATTTAAAAAATTGTTTCTTTGAGAAGAAAAGTAATTCTAAGGCAAGAAAAAATTATATTTCCAAATTTGGATAGCCTTCTGAAATTATGTATTGAAAGGAAAAGACAATTTTATTAGAAAACTTCAAAAAATATCCATGAAAATCACCACATATCAAGAGATTATTAGACACGGACTTAAAAATCTGAGTAAAAAGACGATGATATGAGATGAACCTGCCGTTCATCCCTAATGCTCAGAGATCATAAAATAACACACCTCTCTGTTTCCTAGTATTTTGTAGAAGCAGCTGAGCTTTAGAAGTAAATACACTGGGTATGCCAGACACAGAAAATAAAGACAACCACGTCAGTGATTCAAGATCTAGCAAAAATGATATCAGAAGTGAGCGAGTTCCAGGTATTTATGGAATTTGTATACAAGGGAGTCTTTCCCATAAATGAATTTAGTTTGATATTTACAACATCTGTGATAGTTTCCTTTTATAAATTTATTTAGTTTCTAGATGAACAACAACTGTATTTTTCTCTTAGAATGGATAAGAAAATCAGAATAAGATCACTTAATGTTAGAGATTAGAGCACACAGGCCCCCAGAACGCAGGGGCGGTAAATTTAAGAGCCTGTTGTGTTAGATTCCTGAGCCCGATGACGAATCGCCTTCCCCGCGGGTGCCCTGCACCCTGCATAGCTGATGTCCCCAGAAGTGCAAAGAAATTTGTTAAGTAGATGCCAGAATGTGTTGTGCTTGACTAGTGTTTCTAGGGCCCAAGTATAGAAATCGTATTGCAGCTGGAGTTCCTCATCATCCTCAGAGAGCCTCGGGAAGAACTGGACAGTGAAAGGTCAGGCGGGAGCCCTCCCTGTGACTGCCACAGCAGGAGGCTCCCTTCCAATGCCTGGAAGAGGGGCTCTGCCTGGTCATTTCCACTTGTATTCATGCCTTTCTTGTGCTATGTCACATTATTTTCTTTTTACTAAAGAGCCAGGTATACATTGTGAGAACTTTGTCAGAACGTGAATTTGTTTAGAAGGTGAAGCTGGAGGGGGCCCCGGAAGTCCGCAGCAGAAGAGCAGAGGCACAGTTTTATAGTAAAGGTGTGCCAGGGGAAGGGAAGGCTTTCCTCACGGCGGAGATGTCTGGGGAGGAGAGGAGGCGGTGATCGCTCCTCCGGCCCAGCCAGCTGCCCAGTGGAACAGTTTCTCTAGAATCAAAGCTATTTCTGAAAGTCAAGCCCCTTCTGCAGTAGAGTGGCTCCTGCGTCCCGCTGCATGGCTTCACAGGCTCTGGCTCATGGTGGTGATTTACATTTGAAATGTTTGCCCTTCCTGGACTTGTGCTGGTGCTGCTGGCTAACCCGGGAACTGCTAGTTAATCACACTTGCTGTTACTAGGGGCGTTCTCTCCCCTGGGAGTGACACGGAAATGCAGCTGCAGTGGCTACTTATGAGGCCCCCCATGAGCGAGGTGAATGATTTTCAATCCTGGTTCTTTATCATGAGAAGAGCAAGATAGAGTGTGTGGATGTAATGGGACCAAAAAAAATCTGTGAAAACAGAAAAACTGACAATACAGATTTCTTTTGGAATTTAAATAATTTTATTGTGAACGTATATAGCCCCCATCCTTCTACAAACATTGTTCTTCCATCATTTTAGTTAATCCAAGAGATAAGTGAGGGGTGATGGCATCATATTTTACTTGCGGAAAATCTAGAACTTGACAGGTGCTAACATTAATTGAATGCAAAATAACTTTAAGCTGATACATTTCCCTGACGTTAAAGATAAAACATGACTTTGGAATATGTTTGCTTTTATTTCCTTTCTGAATTTATATTCCAAGGGAACAGCTTAGAGAAAAAGATATGATTATGGTTTTTTTTTTTGTACTAGAGTTCCGTATTATTTATTTTTAAAAACATTGTTAAATCTCCCTCCTAATTTTTACTCTTCGAATTTTCTATTTACCACCATCTCTAAGAGAAAGAGGTAAGACCATCTGAGAGCTGAGTATTTTCAAACCTGACCACCCTTCAAAATGAAACTGAACCAACCATAGCAACAGCATGTTAGTTATTGTAAAACAATTTCATAAATGCTCTTGTATTTCTAACATCTGATTTTTTCTCCTCATTTTAAGACTTTAATGTATAAAGAGAAAACTCACATCTGCGTTATAATAATATCGAAGTTTGGTTAGTTGTTTCTTGATTTTCTTACTGGAAATTAAATACAAAGGAGAAAAGCAAAACCCTGTTATTTGAGCCCATGAGCCGGGTTCCCCCTACCTTTGGGATTCCCAGATTCAGGGACAGCAGTAGCTGTTGTGAGTCTGCTTTTCTCATTCTAACTTGGACCGCTGAACAAGATAAAAACATGAAGGTATGGGAACAAGCAAGCTTGTCCAACCCGCGGGCCGCAGGCAGCTCAGGACAGCTGTGAATGCAGCTGAACTTTCAAATTCGTAAACTTTCTGAAAACACTATGAAATTTTTTTGCAATTTTTTTAAGCTCATCACCTATTGTTTGTGTTAATGTATTTTACGTGTGGCCCAAGACACTCCTCCTTCTTCCGGTGTAGTCCAGGGAAGCCAAAAGATTGGACACCCCTGAGCTAACATAATCTCCAGACATACGTAACCTGCAGGTCTACATAATTTTCTTCCCGTGTGAAGACCTCTTCTGTAGGTGTCTGCCAGTCATCACTCCACCCACGCTACAAAGACATCAAAGTCGGTGAATTCCCACAGGCCTAGACTCAGCATAGACATCAGGCAGCTGGAATAAGTATCAGGACTCAGTTTCTCCCCTTGTCCTCTCAGTTTCCCTGATGTCCCAACACAGGAATGGCTCTGAGCTGTTGCTTCTCTTAGAAGGTGTTTTATTCTTCCATCGCCTTTGCTTTGAAGGCACCAGCAGCCTGTCAGAGGGGCGTGAAGGCTGCTGGGCCGGCTTTACCGCCCTGCTCTCCGCTGAGGCCCTTCACCCAGGGAAGCTTCGTCCTGGGCTCTCTTGCCTTGCTGGGGTGGAGTGGGCGGGGAGGGTCTCTGTTCACAGCTCACAGCCTGCACGACTGCACGGTGGCGGCTCCGTGTGCAGGAGCCAAGCGTGTTGCTGACTGCTTGGCCTTGGCATGTTCCCTTCACCACACGGCTGGATGGCAGTTTGGAAATGCATGTCAGAACTGTGCCTTAGACAATTGCCTTTTTTAAAAATTTCACTTCTTGCCTAATTTTCTTTCCCTTCTGTCTGTAGAAATATTATGGGCTGGATACAAAATGGGGTGACATCGAACAGTGGATGGTAGGCCTTGAATATAATTTTGTTTTTACCCTTCTCTCCCCCTTTCAATACAATGTTAAGACTTAAATGGTTTATAATGTAATTCTTATGCAGTTTAATTATGTAGATAGATTCCTATTGCACCATAATTTAATACTGAGAGATTTTCTTCCGGGAGTTTCTGCATCTGGTCTCTGTTTACATCCCCAAATGCAGCCTGCTTAGAAACGGTCGTGACCAGGCGTCTGGTCCTGCCTGTTTAGTAGCCACTGACTGCTGCTGTCTCCTGGCCTGCAGTCCGGGGAGGTCTCCACCCCACGACCACAGCCACCCTGATCTCCTCAGGCACAGGGCTCTCCACCAGGACTCAGGCTGGGCATGCGCGCCTGGCTTGAGAACTTTCCAGAGAACATTCCCACTGGCATCGCAGCTCCCCAGGCTCTGGTTGGAACCTCAGAGGTACATTATGCTCCATTTCCTTCACTCATGATTGCGACCAGCTGCCCCGTCACCCTCATTAGACTTTCTCTGCATTTGCTGTCTTCATCTTATCCGCTGTGCCTGCTGAAACCGCTGGTCTTCGGTAAGAAAATTCCTTTACCTTCTCCACCTGCTTCCTAGAGCAGCCCCTCTGCCTTCCGGGGAATGGAGAGCTAGCTCGCCCCTGTTGATACCCCTGTCCTTCTGGCCTTCTCAAGAAGCTGCGGCGCCCACAGAGGGAGGCTGCGGAAGGGGGACAATCTGTGTGCTTTCCGCTGGTCCCAAGAGAGCGTGGCCTGACCCTTCTCATTAGTTCATCTACCTGAGTCCTTCCACCTCTTCCTGTCCCTTTTGCTTTATTGCCTGGCCCTGTGGACATCATCACATGCTTTTAGCAGTTGAGAACCTGGCCAGGATGGAAATGTCCTATTAAACGTTCCTGATACGTAAAATAATCTAAGGAAGATCCAAGATTATCTCCTAACATCTTACGTACGGGGTATAAAAGAGGTTCATTCTTCAAATATAAAGAGCACACACTTACCCTAGTGAGAAAATGATTGCATTCAGCCTAGGAAAACCATCATTTTAGGCTTACATGACATAAATGTATTTTTATCAAATCTTAAGACATTTCTATCCACAGGTATGATGATATAGGAAAGAGAAAAAAAAGAAAAATTTTTTAAATCTTGTCATTGTTTAAAATTGTATCATTGTTTTATATACCACTGAGAAAGAAAAAATGCTAATTATAACTGAGCAACTGAGATTATAAGCTATACCCCAGCTTCAGAGATGTCGAGGTATGGAAAAACTGTGCAAATCCACAATATATAGTAGAAAGAGTGACATCCTTTTTGGATATTTTATGGAAATGATTTATCTTCTGATTCCCGAAGAGAGTAAGGTTCTGAAAGTAAGGGTGAAGGTAGATTGATTTAAACGGACCAGATGATAGAGGTTAGAAAAAAGTGGGACCCAGCTTCTGCCCCAAACACACTGTTTTTACAACAAAAATGAAGTATGCCAGTTTGTGCGCTTAAGAACCTCCCACCCCAGAAGAAAACGTTTTTGCCCACGGGTTTAATTGAAGCCTTTAAACGAATGCAAAGAAAATACGGATTTGACATTTGGATCAGAACTGCTATTATGTTGCAATGGGACTACCTAAGCCTTTTTAAAACACTTCTCCTGTGTCCGTCTGTCTCTAACCTTCTCATACTGTTTCCTCCATTGCTTTGGTAGGAAGACAGTGAGCGCTACTCTCGTAGATCCAGAAGAAGCACCTCGGTTAGTACCGTGTTCATTCGTTACTTAGGCACTTTGATTGAATTCTGCTTTGTACTTGCATTGGCTAAAGTATATATAATGCATATAATCTCTTAATGATGCTATCATCTCTTAAAGAAATTAACTAATACTGTTAATAATAGAATACTGATATTATTACCTAAGTAAAGACTATGAACTCAGTTTTTGGCATTTTGACTCAAATTTGGTAAGGAGAGTATGTCTGAGAAATGTTTGAGTATTAATGTATTCACGGCAGTTGTAGTGCTTTTTATGCCATTGAACAACCATAAATAATTTGCATAGTAATATACACCAATGCTGTGTATTTATATTCCCTGTGAGATAAGACTGCTTGGATGAAATTACTTTTTATTTTTTTTTGAGATAGAGTCTTGCTCTGTCACCCAGGCTGGAGTGCAGTGGCACAATTTTGGCTCACTGAAACTGGTGCCTCCCGGGTTCAACAATTCTTATGCCTCAGCCTCCCAAGTAGCTGGGCTTACAGACACGTACCACCATACCCGACTGATTTTTGTATTTTTAGTAGAGGTGGAGTTTCCCCATGTTGCCCAATCTGGTCTCGAACCCCTGGGCTCAAGCGATCCTCCTGCCTTGGCCTCCCAAAGTGCTGGGATTACAGGCATGAGCCACCATGCTTGGCCCTGAAATTACTTGTTTTTTTGAGACGGTGTCTTGGTCTGTCACCCAGGCTGGAGTGTAGTGGTGCAATCTCAGCTCACTGCAAACCCTATGTCGTGGGTTCAAGTGATTCTCCTGCCTCAGCCTCCTGAGTACCTGGGATTACAGGCATGCACCATGACACCTGGCTAATTTTTGTATTTTCAGTAGAGACTGAGTTTTGCCATGGTGGCCAGGCTGGTCTTGAACTCCTAACCTCAAGTGATTGGCCCACCCTGGCCTCCTAAAGTGCTAGGATTACAGGCATGAGCCACCTCGCTTGGCCCTGAAATTACTTTAAATCCATACTGCCCATAAGCAGACAGAGATGCACAAAGCCCGTGTTGTGGGGGACCTAGTCTTGTATCCGCTGAGATGTCCAGGGGCGGCTGTCCCCTCACTGCTGTTGGGTGGGGTCAGTCACCAGCATCCCCCCGAGCATGAGCACTGGTTCTTCAAGTGTGTTATGTGATCACTTCACGGTTGTTCTCGTCCTTTCTTTTAATAGGCTTCTGATGAAGACGAGCGCATGTCAGTGGGTAGTCGTGGAAGCCTGAGGGTCAGTAACCAGAATGACCGAGTTTGCATGGCACGGTTTATAGTCCAAGCCCTTTACTTCCTCATCCCACATTCAGACTTCTTCTCCATTATCCCCATAGTCTACTAGTCAATCTTTAACTGATGGGATGCTTACTTAGAGTAAGATCAATGGGGGATGTTTCTTTGTTGCCATAGAGAGATTATTAAGATGTGTAGGCACGTTGGTTGGTTGTTTCTTTCTTCTGAGATGAAGTCGCCTTTTTCCAATACCCATCCCCATCACAGAGCTCCCAAGCCTTGATTAGCACAGTCGTCTCAGCAAAAGGTGCACCCACCCTTCAGTAAGTCTGTAGCCACTGACGCACGCTCCTGGTAACGTCGGAAGCTCTGTGAAAGGAGCTGTGAGTTAATTATTCAGCAATGTTTTCGCATAGCCACTCCAGACTTCCGGGTGGAAATTATTCAGCAATGTTTTCGCATAGCCACTGCAGACTTCCGGGTGGAAACCTGGACCAGCACTAGATCTGGAAGACCTGCCTTCTGCTGCTTTTCCTTGTATCAATTATAATTAGATCTCTTCATCACTGCCAGGCTTAATGGTTAATCAACACAAATATGGACTTTTCCTTAAACATTCCAGAAACCTTAATAATTAGACTCGAAAAAAGTTTGAGCTTTGAGGGAAGTAAAATAGAAAAACTATGTTTTTCTCAGTTTCTGAGCATGTCAGGTTTTTTTTTACCACAGGATGGAAATGACGTCTCACCACTGGTAATAAATAAGTCTCAAAGCAGCCACTCCGTTTTAGTAATTCTTAGGGACCACATAGAGCTAAAGGCTTGTTTTTCGCCACTGTGACAATTAAATCCTATTACTTCTTGACTTATTATACATGCACTGAGTGTGTGTAATCGGCCATTTACAGTGATAAAATGCCGAGGTGAAACGCAGTCGCTGAGATGTGAAGCGACCCTGTCCTTGTCACTGTCCTTGCAGTACCAAAAGCAGATCTGTAGTGATTTTGCCCGAAAAGCTGCGCTTCAAATGTAAGGCCCATGTGAATGCTTCCTTGCTGTTTGGACCTTCTCCTGAGACTTAGCCTCAGTGGTGCTGTCATAACCTCCTAAGTACCCTCCGACACCACTCACCCCAGAAGAGGGAGGATTTATGGACCCAAAATATAATAAATGCAAAGCTCAGTTAACAAAATCTGTAGACAAGGCACAGACATCACAGCTGTTGAGCAGGCCCAGGAGAAGCTTCAGTCCTTGAAACCAGTGAAGAAAATACCGTTTCAAGGATGGGGTGGGGGCTGACCGAGGGAGGAGGAAGCTTAGACTTAGAAGCATAGAGGATGTCAGCGACTTTGATAGGAGAACTTTTGATGGAAACATTGAGGGCAAAACCTGATTAAGATGGGTTCAAGAGAGAACAGAGGAGAGAGACACAGAATCCCAAACTCTCTGTCAAAATGCATCGTTTTCAGAGCCACGCCCTCTGGAAATTATAGGAAGTCTGTTGTGCGCACTTACATTTTCCTAGGAAAAGGATGTTCACTTTCTTAAGATTCTCAGAGGGTCTCCTGATCCTAGAGAATTGAAAACAATTGCAACATGAATGAGCATTATGACGCTGTGTTAGCATTCGTTTCATTTTCAATGATTTTTAACCAGAAATGAGTTACATCTTTCTGCTGGACACCATCCTTTGCCAAGATATCAAGTATATTTGTTTTAAGAGCTGAAATTTCACATAGGAGGTTCACCATTCGGACACTAAATAAGAGGGGTGAAAGTGGATGGGATTTTCGTTTTCAGCCACATGACGCTTTCCCATCATGTACCTTATCCAAAGAAATAGATTCCTCAGAACTTAAGAACTTGGATTCTGGAGGTGAGAGTCAGACCTCCTAATGTTTATAGGCACCAAACAAGCCCGGAGCGGTAGAGAGGTCTGCTTGGGGTCACAGTTCTTAAGAACAAGGCCAGTGCCTGCTGCTCAGGTGCACTGGGTGCCCTGGGCTCTGTGCCTGCTTCTCGGTACCACGGAGCAGGGCACCCCCTGGAATGAGGACTCGCATTTCACTCTATTTCTATCCAAGTTGATTTCTACTGTTTTTATGTATTTTAATATTATGAACTTTTTACATTGATGAGTTCTGTTATGAGATAATATCTTTTATTTATTGACTCTGAAAACACAGGCCTTTTCATTTAACTGGCAAAGATGAAAAACCCTAGAAAAGGTGGGGAGGTGACTTATACTATCCTGTCGTTTGCATGGATGGCTCCCCAGAAAAATCTAGATTTGGGATATCAAAAGTTTTTAATTTTCCTTTTTGAAAAAAATTGATGATGATACATCTTTTAACCTTTTCCTTTATATAACTAAAATATATTATGTAGAGGAGGAAATAAGATTTACCAAACTGTTTCAGACTTCATGAATTACAGCCGCCTTTGCCATGGAAGTATATTTAATGCTCCTGGATTCTGTGGTAGCTACCGTTCTGCCATCATTCTTTTTGTAAATACACATCAGATCCTAGAGATTATGGAAAAATGCATTTTTGCTAAGATTTTAAAGATTGCTTGTATTTGCGTTTTACTGAGCTTTTTGAATTGACTTTTGGCAACTCTCTTTTCTGTTGTTTTCCTCTGCCATCTTTATTCTGACAGTCGCAGCCTGACTTGGAGTATGGGGGTCCCTACGCCTGGGTGAGATGGTCGGATATACTTTGCTGTGTGAGCTTAACTGTGTGGTGTGACAGATCATAACCTGTGGTTTTCCCACTAATCTCATGGGTGCTTTTCTAAAAAGCCAAGGACATCTTTGTCTACCAGTTTTTGCCTTGGGGCTATGAAATCAGGAGGGGAGGCTCCCCCTACGGAGTGAGCAGTCTTCCTCCTGGGGGTGCAGCCCTGATCCTGGCGTGAGGGAGGAACCCAGGCATCCGTGCATGAACACTCCCTCACCAGATGGCCTTTGAGCACCAGCTGTTTGCCACGCCTTGTGTTAGCAACTGGGCATACCAAGATGCAAAAGATAGTGTCTGCCTTCAGGGAACTCAAATCAGATCAAGAATTCCCAAAGCCTCTAAGTTTCCTTTAAAAGATTAAATGCAAACTCATTTTACCTATGAAAAATCCATTATTTTCCAATCTGTATCCATTCAAATTGAATGTACAATCTGACATTTTGGCCAGAAGGTATTTTTTGAGAAAGATCCCACTTCCAGTAACAAACACTAAGCCTTTAGACTTAAACTCAGAATTACTCTTATATCTCTCTGACAGTTTCTGTGCCTTATGCTTTCTAAAATTCTGTCAACGTTACACTTCAAGGAAGAAAAAATTCTCCCCAGAAAAGCACAGCTCAGCATTGAAGTGACTTGATATTAAAGTTATTATGGTACATTATATACTATTTCTCTAGAAGGACTTTACCTAAAAGCATTTGTGCTTCATTTATTCCAGCGCATTTCACAATTATTTAGTAAACTCCTGTTTTAGAAACATATTTTTGTGTCTGCAATGATAGTGAGTAAATGGGAGCATACATCTGCAGAGCATGTTTCGCGCCCTGAGCCTCCTGTGGAACTGCCGTTCTCCTCTTAGCAGATAGAAGAGCAGAGGCCAGAGTGAGTAGCTCGGGGTCAGGACAGGAGGAAGAAAGACAGGTGATTAGATTCAGAAAGTGCTCTTCACTGAGAGTCTGTTACTTACCAGCTCTTCACGCCGCTCTGGTCAGTGAGAGCATTTCTGTGGCACTGTAACTCCAGCACCTCTCCTGTTTTTTAAGGAATTCAGTGTATTAACAACGTATCTCTAGATTATTACTCTTTTTATATTAAATTCAAAGTACATTTTGTTTAAGAGCTAGCCCCCAGTACGATAAATGTATATGTTAGCACTGGTCAGGAAGGCATTTTGGATTTTTTTCAGTCTTAATTCTTTTTTAAAATTAAATATAATGCATCAGGGATTGAACTCAAGAGTTTTGACGTTGCCTTCCTTGTGTCTAGTGTCCTTTACATGTGCTCTGTGTTTTGACTCATGTGGAAAAGACATCTAACATTACTAATCCAAAAAGTTGGTAAGGACTTTGCATGGTCACATGGGAGGATCACAGACGCTTTGATGCCACTGCATGATAGTTATTAGCATTCGGACCAGTCACAAGTTACCACTTCCATAGGGCATTTACCCTTGTATCTTATTTATGCTATATTAGGAAATACTAACTTAGGTATGTCCTCTTTATTTTGTTCTCTCTTATGGCAGTGTTTCTGGAGAGCTTGTTAAAATGCATGTTCCTGGGCCCTCCCTCTAGGTATCCTGATTCCCCATGCAGGGGCCCATGCTCGTGAGAAGCATGTCGGGTGGCGGTGAAGCAGGGGGTCTGCAGACTCACCTCTGAGACCCAGCCTTGGAGCATGGAACCAGCAAAGTGAACAAGCATGTGTACTGTTTAAACCACACAGTAGAGGGCTGGGAAAAGAATCCTACAGAGCGAAGCTTGTTGAACCTCAGAGGCCTGACTTAAGATGAAGTTAATATGCTGTCTATAGACATTTTGTTCTAATATTGTTCAGTTAATTGTCAACGCCCCTTACCCTCTTATGCCACGTAAAAATAGCCCCACCCATCTAAATACAACATGAAAAACACCATCCAAGAGGAGAAAGTAAGCGGTGTTTTTTAAGAAGGTCAAAGTACTTTTCACTATGGAGATAGAGTCCACAAGATCCTATAGATTTTGGAATACATTCTGGGAACATAGCCGAGGAACAGACGCCTATTATAGAATTCCATTACCACAGACCTGCTCATGGAAATTGCTTTGCAGGATTTCCTGCAAAGTAACTGTTTTTCCTGTGTTTTTGGGGAAGGCTGTGAGTGGAAGGGTGACAAATGAGAGGATGTGTCATGCTTCCAGCTCCCCACCTTCTGCTCTGTGGCTGTAGACTGAGCTAGAGAAAGAGGGTGCACAGGACGGGGTTCCTCCACAACGGGGTGTATTTCATAAGCAGTGGTGGCAAGCTAGAGGGCTTATGTAATGCATTTCTCTTCCTCATTTACTAGTAAAGTCAAAGTCATCTAAAATTGATCTACGTTAGCCTTCATTACTATGTTAATCTAGTTTCTGAAGAGATAAGGGATTGAGATCTAAAATTTGCAAGTCCTTGACGTGCATTTTCATGTCAGATAATCTTGTTGGTGAAGACATGAAAGGAAATTAGTCTGAGTAAAACTCTTGCTAATCTCCAAAGATTTTTACTATTAAATTTATTTCAGAAATGTTTTAATGTTACTCATAGAATTCTCAAATTTAACATGGAAGGACTTTACTCCTTTTGTTTCAAAACTTCCAGTTGATTTCTTGATTTGTTTTGTGTTGTAGCAAAGATAAATATTTAGTGTTATAGTCAATGTTTCATGAATCTGGATTTATAATCTATCTGGAAATTCAGTTATTTTTTTATATTTTAATTCATGGCTTCAGAATATGTGCTATACAGCACCCAGCCCCCAAATAAGGAACCATGTTGAGCACCTCCCATGAGCCAGGCCCCTTCCATGTGGATTCACGTATCCGCCCAGTAAGCACATGCTTCATGAAGGCACTGTTCTAGGTGCTTATGATACTCATTTTCATCTCGTTCAGTCCTCACGATGACTTTGTAATGCATTTATTATTATGCACATTTTCACGGCTGGAAAAGTAGATGTTCAAGTGGATTAAATAATTATTTAAGGTCACATGACGGAGCTTCTGTTTGGAATTTGGACTCATGCCCAGGACCCAGTGGCGTCTCCTTTGATTTTTACCAGTTGTGTAGACTGCTCCTCCTTTTTCTGTCGCGAGAGCTGGTTTTGTCTCTGACGCTTCACAGCTGTTATTTTGAATCAGCAGAGATTTCCTTATAGATGAATTAAGGGACTTTTAGAAAGCCCATGCTTGGACTTAAGGGAAATTGGGCTGGGAACTGAGAAGAGAGGGAAGATAGGCAGACACTTAATAGAACTGTTCTCCTTTATTCTGGAGGACACATTAGGAAATTATTAAATATGTGTTCAGATTTCATTTTGAAAAATAAAGTAGGAAGGCTGGATGGATGAAAAACTACTGTACAGGATATACCTCACAGTGAACTTTTCCGTTTAATTATAGATTGACTAGACATGATTTCTGAACCTTCTGAATCATGCCCATAGTGTCACAATGTGCCGTAATCTTCAAGGACTCTCCCTGAACCAGGAACTGAAAGCTCATTGACTCAGGCCAGATCACTACCCACCAGCCTGGCCTGTGGCTTCTTGCAAGCAGAATGTCCACAGTGTCACCATAAAACTAGAAACAGAGATGAGGAAACGGCCACACCAAGCCCAAGTGCTCCACCCATGGAAGGACTTGGTACCACTTTAAGACCAAGAGTGACATGTGACCTGAAGTCTGCTGACTTCGTTAGCTTGACTGTGCTGTTCTCTCCTGAGCTGCGGGGTAGTGGACAGGGGACAGGGAGGCAGTCTGGGGCTGCTAGGACTTGTACTGTCCTGGGCTGGTCATTCATCCGTTCCACCGACAAAGCTAACCTTATACTTGGCTGGCTTGTCCCTGCTGATTTGTACCTGTGAATAAATTTGGGTACTGATGTCAGTTTTTCTCTTTTCTTCATTGAAACAGACAAATGGTTATGATGGAGAGTTCTATGGATCACAGTCCCTGAATAGAAGATCTGGCAGGGTTAGTATAGTAAGTGTGCATGGCTCGAAATTCAAACAGGTTGTTTTAAAGCTTCTAAAACTAAAAACTAATTGCTAAATTTAAATTTAGCTTCTTTGCTGTTTTTAAATGTTATAATGGTTCTTTTTTTTCCTAGCACATGATGGAATGAAAGATAATGTTTTTCAACTACCAAACATTCTGAGAATGTTAGCCTTCCAATGTTCTGATTGTTAGTGTAAGGGATAGATATTGATAAGAATCTCTAAGTTTAAAAAAAACTGAAATTAAAGATTAGCTCTTTCATTATTGCATTGCCCTGGGTGTGTGTATAATGTGTATATTAAGTGTACTCAGCTTTCAAAGATATTAAATCGATATTTTCGCAGTTCTCACAGCTCTCATTTGTAGTTTAAATGTTTACCTTAAAGGCTTGTGTACCAGAGCCTGTGTTTTTCTGGAGAGGAAAAGGAGAAGAAAACAATGCAGATGCTTGGAAGGTTCACAGTTATGGGGTGGGAGGCAGGAAAGGAGCTGGTGGAAGGAAAGGGTGATGCCGGCGGGGGAGAGAGCGAGAGAGCGGTGCCCGTGCCGGAGCACTGGGGAGGCGGGCAGGGGTTGGTAGGGCTTCGGATTTATCAGTGTTCTTACTGCTTCATTTTTTTCTTTTAGCAACATTCCTAATTATGTAAAATAGTATTTCTTTTCATTTATCCTAATTATGTTATATGAAGATATCACTATATGCTTAAATTATACTTTTGGGCTTCAAATGAGTGACCCCACCCTTACCTCCCTCCCTCTCCCCAGCCAAACCAGCGTTTAGCTTTCTGAAACCAGCTGATCGAGTGGTCTTTGCCTATTTAGCATTGCATGCACTTTATTTATTTGTTTGTTTATTTATTTAGAGATAAGAGTCTTGCTCTGTCACCCAGGCTGGAGTGCAGTGGTGCGATCTCTGCTCACTGCAACCTCTGCCTCCCAGGTTCAAGTGATTCTCCTGCCTCCGCCTCCCAAGTAGCTGGGATTACAGGTGCCAACCATCATACCTGGCTAATTTTTTTGTATTTTTTAGTAGAGACGGGGTTTCACCATGTTGGCCAGGCTGGTCTCAAACTCCTGACCTCAGGTGATCCACCTGGCTCAGCCTCTCAGAGTGCTGGGATTGCAGGCGTGAGCCACTGCACCTAGCTGGATGTGACATTTTAAAAATATACACTCAAGACACGTAAAGATGGCCTGCAGGGCATTTTCCCTCTGTGGATAAGGGTTCTCAGCTGGACGGGTGGGAGCCGCTCCACCTGCCTTTCTAGCACTTCAGGGCTGAGCTATAGCCCTCAGGTATGCTGGGCTGAAGAAAAATGGAAAATTTTGCAATAAATGGAATTTTACTTAGCTAAGAAGTTAAGTAAGAAGGATAGTTGAGACTAGGAGGTTACTGACCACACGGCATGAAACTCAGTAACCACGAACCGTCCTTGAGATGTGAGACTGTGAAAACAGTACTAGATACACCCGTGGCATCACCAAGACAGAAACACTGAAATAGAAAATGCAGCTCGGCATCTCTGTTGTTAAGAATCTCTGCTGTACTGTTTGTGTCCCGCTTCGTTGGCTAAACCAGCATTCCTGGGGTCCCAGCGTTAGCTCGTGGTGCTGTTTCACGTTTGCCTTTTGAATGGGATGGCGGGTGCTTTTGGAGTCCTAAGCAAGTGCTTGTCACTTAAACATGTTTTCTTCTTTGGTGCTCAGAATTCCAGCTACAGCGGTGACAGCAGATTCTCCACATTGTCGTCATCCAGGGAGGGGAAGCTGGTTGGTTTCCATTTAAATCTTTCACATCCTCTCTTCAGAAACCGCAGGTTTTGTAGCATGCAGTCCGTGTGTGTGGATTCAGCTGACTTTTCTCTTCCAGTGTCTGTTTGACAGGTTTTTGTTTGGGGAGCTGTTTTGCTGGCGTGAGAGGCAGGAGTTAACACGCGCTCCCCCACTCGGATGCACTCCCCGCTGCTGCGTTGGACCACGCCAGCCTGAATGTGAATTGTGGCATTCAGCCGGCTGCCATGAAGGGATGAGTTTTTGTATATATTCTCTAATTAGAATTAATCAAAAGGAAAAAAATAAGAAGAATGCTCTTGAACTCTTGAGAGTTTCTGGAAACAGAACTACTTTGAAGTGGACATGCAACCTTTGTGGTAGTTTCTTGGGCATGAACTAGACTTGGAATGAAAACCCAGTCCCGTCCAAATCCAGATGTTTACACAACAGAGTTCCTGCCTATTCTCTACAAACATGCACCGGTCTTGATTAACATAATTTCTAAATTGTTGAAGAGCCCTCAAATAGCTAAGGGTTGTGGTGTTTGTTTAGGTTCAGATTCACTCAGCCAAATTAGGGGACTAGTTTAGGTAGGAAAATTGAGCAGGCCCTGGAATCACAAAGGTAAGCAGGGGAGGGAGGCACCCTCCAGGCACTGACTTCTAGAACAAAAGCCACCCCCACCGGACACCAGTACAGTAGTGAACAGATGAGCAAACAGAATCAGAGGGAGACACTGGTTTCACCAGGAAATATCACAACAAAGGATGTGAACTGAACCTTAAAAAATAAATAGGAAGGGTCACACACCATGGCTCACACCTGTAATCCCAGCACTTTCAGAGGCCGGGGTGAGCGGATCACCTGAGGTTGGGAGTTTGAGACCAGCCTGACCAACATGGAGAAACCCCATGTCTACTCAAAAAACAAAATTAGCCGGCAGTCGTGACAGATGCCTGTAATCCCAGCTAACTCAGGAGGCTGAGACAGGAGAATCACTTGAACCCGGGAGGCGGAGGTTGTGGTAAGCCAAGATCGCACCACTGTACTCCGCCTGGGTTGTGACAAGAGAGAAACTCCATCTCAAAATAAATAAATAGGAAGCGCAAATGAAAAGAATAGGAACTAACCAGGTAGAGCCTGGAGGGAAAGCGCTTCAAGGTAAGGAGCCACCTGAGCAGAATAGAGACCGAGCAGAACAGTGAGAACCCGGGAGACGCTCTGTGCGACTGAGCACAGGGTGCTGCTGTTGGGGACTTTCTGTGGACCTGGTGACTGCAGGAGCAGCTCCCCAGCTGAAATCAGAAAGTGAAATCTATGCATTTCCTCTGCAGTTTCCTTTACCCACTCCCCTGTAGTCACTGACCTCATCAAAATGCTTCTAGAAGAAATAGCTCGGACCCTTCCCCGCCCCTCCCTTACCTTCCAGCCCCTATTTCCATTTCCCTTCGTGGGGGCTCTTTTTCTTGCCAGGGCACTTCTTCCTCGCCTCTGTCAGCCCTTGTCCACCCCCTTCGTGCCCAGGGAGGCTGCAAAAGCTGCTGGCAGCTCCATGGCCCCTGCAGCTTGCCAGCTTTCTAAACCCTTCCCATTGCCCCCCGGTCTATAATAAATCCCCCCCCAACTGGAAGCTGATGGCCCTTCTGTCCCCCAGTAGGTGAGTTTTAACTCAGCATGTGATCAGCTGTGAACACCAAAGCACTAGTGGGTTTAACACCTGGAAAAGGGCTTTCTGTATTTTCTTAATTCAAGGGGAGATTTTGCTGTTGCAGAGAGCACTTGTTCGTTAAGAAAACTTTATTTCCTATGCATTTTTGATAAGCCGAGTTACTTGCTCTAAAATAAAGATGGCGGTAAAGATCTCATCCTTAGATATGAACAATTAACCCAAGTTCAGCCTGCATCTAATTCACTTCAATCCACTTAAGAGAAATAACCCACATCCAAAGGGCTACACATCAGGATGAGAGCTCATCCATTCAATCAGGGCCACATCAGACCTCGACCTGTGGCCCTGTGTGCCCATCATTTGCTGCCCGAGAACTCCTGAATTCACCCGCCCTCAGAACCTTCCTGGGAATCGTGCTGTGTAGACATCTATTCCTGCCCAATACATGGCGCGTTTAATTTTATTTAAATATCATAACGGAAAAGTATCAGTGTAGAATTGATGACTCTTCCTAACATCAATTAAAATTCATTTCAGCATTTAATATAAATTAAAATTAATTATTTTTTTCTGTGTGAAAACTCAAAAGTCCTAATTTAACCCCCTGTCCTAGCTTGTCAGTTGCCTGGCCCAGCCACCCTACTTCCTTCTGACCCTCGCTCTTTCCCTCCCCGAGAGTGCGTGCTCGTTATGTTTTGCTTGCATGAGGTCATCGTCTCTGAACTCACTGGACTGATGTACCTTTGCGATGCGGCGAGGGTGTGAGCCTCCCTCCCCTCTCTGCTGCCCATTTGCTCTGATTACAGGGACTCTCCAGCTCCAACCTTGGCCTTCCCGGTGGTGGCCCGGCTCACACGCCCCTGTCTGCCACAAATGGAAACTGGGTCTGTCTCCTTTTCATGCCACTTTGTCCCTCCTTCCTTTTCCTTCTGCTAATTGCTGTAATTGCTGATTAAATCTCATGGACACTTCAGCCTCCTCTATACAATGTCACAGAGCAAAGCTTAGCACGTGTTTTAATTGGCTCAACTAGTTTGCTAAGACTTTTCTCAGTCTTTTAGAAACATGCCTGTCAAATAATTTGGAAGCTAATATAGAAAAGGAGACTTAAGGAAAAGGAGGGTTTTTTTAAATGCATATTTTTGAAAACTGGAGTCCAAAAAATCGGTCTCTTGGGTCACTCCTCCTTTTCCATCAGTTGTTCCCCATTTGAGGTTTCATTTGTTTTTTAAAAAGTTTTTTCTCTTGTAAATGTGTCCAGGAAGCAATTTGGAAGGTTTTTGTGCATTATCTGCCTCCTTGGTCTCTGAGAAGTGGACAGAACAGTGCTATTTCTCTGGCTCGGTGTCCCCGCTGTTTCCTGTTTTTACAAGGTTGGATCAGGTCTGGCCCTGGGGTTTTTGGCCTGTGAGATATAGGCATCGAATCTTGCTCTAATCCAAGGAAGTCGGTGTCAGGGGTGAAATTCCAGGTCCTATTTGGAGGTTGAGCTGTCCTCTCCCTTGCATGTCGGCTGGAGCTGCTGAGTATTCACTGCCTGGCCGTCGTGCACCTTGCCTGACTTATTCAGGTGTGCCCTGTGAGTCTGGAATCTGTTCCGTGCTGCAGTCTCTGCACACTGTGAGCTGCCTTTGTGTCCCAGCCCGTCCCCTCACCAGCACTGCCTCGCCCTGACGTGTGTGCTAGGCAGGATTCTCCTTTGACTGACAGGGCTAGATAGCTGGTGCCTCCCAGACCAGCTGAGGCAGCCTTGCGGCTACTCCCTGTGTATCTTGAAGACTATCACCGGGCCCCTCGGATAGAAATAAACACGCTTCCTGCCCCTGTCTTCACGTGTGGACATTTACATGTTGAACACTGCCAAGTGTGTCATTAACCTTGGATTCTGAGCTGTGGGTTTTGTTGCTGTTGGTGTGTTGACCTTGTCACCATTCTGTCTCATCCCCCAACCCTCCTTCCAGGCATGCCTGAAAAGACTAGAAATGACCAGATTTCAAAGATGCTGGGAAGTGTACTGTTTTAAAGTCAAAAATCATCTCATTTATCCTTCTTGTAAATGTTGGATTTGCATCTATGAAATTGACAGAAAACACGGGGCCTCAATCAGTCGGCTTTTCCTGTGTAACCATGGTGATAGCTGACACTGTCACGATGGCTGTTCGCTATTGTTTGTTGCTGTTTTTTCAAGGCTTTGAAAACCTGCCATTTGCTTTCATCCTCCAGCCCTCCTGTCTGTACAGAGCTGCCCGGCCTTCTGGGAGTCACTGGGTGCGTGCAGCACCCACCCCGCTGCCCTGCGCCCCCTCCCACTGTGCATGCACCACCCCCCGCCCCAGAGCTGTGGAAGTGCCTGCTTGCAGCCCCTGGGGGAAGGTGCACCTTCATGTGGAGCTTACATGTGCCCGTAGGGATTGCCTGTCCCCTTTGCCCAGATCTGGGTTTTCTCCCCCCAACCCCTGACTGCTGACTGTAGCTGCCTGCCTTCTCCATCTCCAGGAAGCCTTGTGTTTGCTGGGATTGTTAGGCAGGAATGGAACAACAGCAGTGTTTACTTTACCGATTGGCAGAAAGAAAGGTGGCTTTTTAATGCTTTGGTAACCTGGACAGATACTAATCCATGTTACTATATTACTTTGGAAATTTCCAGTTTTAAATATAAGTACTTATGCTATGTAAGAAACTTAAAGTAAATAATCAAAGTAGCTATACTGATAACTTTTTTTTTTTGGAGGCAGTCTCCCTCTGTTGCCCAGGTTAGAGTGCAATGGCATGAGATCTCTGCTCACTGCAACCTCTGCCTCCCAGGTTCGAGTGATTCTCCTGCCTCAGCCTCCCAAGTAGCTGGGATTACAGGCATGCACCACCATGCCTGGCTAATTTTTGTATTTTTAGTAGAGACAGGTTTCACCATGTTGGCCAGGCTGGTCTCAAACTCCCGACCTCAGGTGGTCCACCTGCCTCGGCTTCCCAAAGTGCTGGGATTACAAGTGTGGGCCACTACACCCGGCCATTAATAACTTTCTGAATTTCCATCAGATTGCATACTTATAAATTAGATACATTAATAAATGGCTGAGGAAACCAGTATGTGCCCAAGGGAAAATAGGGAGAAAAAAGTTCCTTTACACCGAGCAAAGTTTGACGTCGCCATTTGTGGCATTGTAAGCTCCTGTTTACCCACGCTGATTAATTAAGTAGCATTTTTCCAGTTAAACAATTATTCTTCCTTCTACCTACTAACTTTTAAAGGGTTATAAAATATTTAGTATTAAAACTGTAATTAATGTAATTTGACATTTTATTCCAAAGTCACTTCACATAAAAGTAATTTTCTCAGCATCAAGTATGAGAATGCCATGACAAAATTGAGGCTGTTAGAATTATCTGCTCATTTTAATCTGGATTAACATGTTTACTTAGCATGGGGTGTTTTCCAAAACAATAGACTGGTCTATTGGCGAGTCCACTGCACGCCGCTTGGTAGTGACTAAAACCTCTCTCTCCTGAGTTCTGCACCTGCCGCACTCCGCAGCCCTTTGAGGAGCTGGAAAGGTGGTTCTGAGCCTCCCCTGCATGTTTTCAGGCCACGTTCCTGGCGCGTGTCAGTTTTTCACAGCTTACATTTTCCGTGCTGTCTGGGCACTCTTGGAGAAAGGAAGAGCGCTCCATCCTGACCGTCTCTTTTGGTTGCAGGCGTCTGTGTTGGATGAAGGCAGCCTCGGTGGGGCTCGACGGGGCAGCGCCTGCGGCTCCCGTGCTGTAAGGCGCTTTTGGTGATACCCCCTTTCCCCACTGCCTGCTGCATGGCCTGGGGATGCGTGCTGGGCAGGGTCCAGCTGTGGGGGGTGACTGGCCGTCCTCAGGAGGAAGCACCGGTTCACTGGGTTCACCGCCGCCTTCCATCGTAATGAAGGTCACGAATAACGTGAATCGGGAAACCTCTGGTTGTCAGTTTCATGTCCGTACTCATCGGGGGACTAACCTGTGTAGACTTTCACCTGCTCTCTTTGCAGCACGCCAACAACACTAACAGGCCGTGAAGTGGTCTTAACTTAATAAAAGGAGAAAAAGGGCAGTGTGACAGGCCACACCTCACTTTCGTCTCTGAATAATTGAGGAAGAGGAACAAATTTTAAAACTTAGAATGTCACACATATTTAATTCCCTGTTTTTATTTTGTTGCCTTTCTACCCCTTTCTTCAATTTGAAATGGTAGACTCAGCTATGAGAGTAAAGGTGGAGTAGGTGCACAATAAACACTTGTGAATGAATGAATGAATGAGAAAAGCAACGAGGTGGAAAAATGAGATGGAGTCCGTGGAAGTGGGAAGATGCATGGGCCTGTCACATGGACCTGTGGAAATGGAGCGCTCAGTACCCATCAGTGCTTCCTGGCGGGGGATGCGTCTGTATTCAGAGGCTCCTCCCCAGTCCTATAAAAATGCCTTCAAGCCCTCCAGGAAATAGAATGATTTACTAAGAAATACTTGAAATGCTTTTCTAATTTTGCTTTTGAAGTTAATCAGCTACTCACTTGACTAAATCTGGTTTTATGGCTCACTACACATTTGTCCAGACATCATGGATATTCATGAATTCTTAAGATTGTAAGCCAGACTAACCTACAGTTTTCTTTAAAATATCATTTATACATATTAAATCTAATAGTTGACATAGCATTAGTTTTTGTCTACAACTAATTACGCATTTATCAATTTTCATATTGGGTAAGTTTTCAGTATTTTGCAGCCCACTGGATTACATATTTTTCCTAGTTTGTAAACATTTTCATAGGCCATTAGAAAGCTCATACACCATGCATGAAGACTGAAATAGCCCTGCCTATGATACGGTGAATAACGCACAGCTAAATGATTTTCTTTTCTCAGAAAAGAGGGGGCATACCAATTCTTTAAATTTTCCCCAAGCACCAGGTGACTTTCTGGTGGCCTCAGCAGAGATTGTAAGATCTGGCAGGACAGAGGCTTCTCATGTCTCTAGATGCCACTGTGTCACCTTTGAGATGGCTTTGGGGTCGTCAGCCCTGGATCCTCGGCCCTCATTGCTCTTTGACGAACAGAGATTTCTGTGCTTTTAGCCCCTGCAGGAATTTCCTGGGAGTCATGGCCTGAGAGAGTTAAGAAAACAGAAGGTCATCTTGGCAGCACAACTGCCTAAATGGGCAGCAAATTAGCATTGTGAGGAGGAGGGAAGGGACAAGGAAGTTCCTGAGCTCCCAACCTCTCCCGTCTTTTGGTGGGACCCTCACATTTCCCCTGCAAGTGGATACTCCGTTCCTTATGCTTACAGGCAGGACTTGGGAGAGAGCACCCCAGCTCTCAGTCCAGCGTGTAGGGAGGTTGCAGCCCAGGTACAGTGTCCAGAGCAGCCCCAGCGCCCAGGCCTGAGGTCACGGCCCCACGTGGCCGTGACCTCAGGGTCCAGGCTGCCCCCAGGACTGCATAGTCAGCCCTGGTCCTGCTATGGAGGACTCGCCCTGCCCCTGGAGGACCAGGAATTGCCCCCACACAGCCCCTGAGTATGAGGTGACTTTCTTCAGTGTTGTGACACAGCTGGGACATAGTCATCACCAGCAGCGTCATCTCATCCAAGAGCTGAGGAAGTTGTTTGTGGCAGAAAGTGAAAACAGAGAAGAAGCCCAGCACACCCTCCCTTTCTTAGTCTCAGCTCCTCTGTGGGGTCCATGTCCTTACTTTCATGTCACAGACAACAGGCTAAGGAACTTCCACAGCCACGGGGCCAATGAGAGACCGAGCCACGATTCAAACTTAAAGCTTTCTGACTTACATTAGCTGCATGTTAGCACAGAACCCTAAACATCAGGTGCACGTGGACCATGGCGATACAGGCTTTGACGTTATTCTTTTCTGCATGATGAGGTGGAGTCGGAGGGTTTGCGAGCTGTTTTTGCCTAGGGAACCTGGGATGGGCAGTAAGCGCTATTCACAACAATTCGCTGTATGTTTGCACCGTAAAGCAGGGCATGAATGGCATAGAATGGAGTAGGGCTTGTCTGCAGGATGAAGCTTTCCTCCCTCGCACATCAGTCAACCCTCAGACAAAGTCCTTCTGCTTTTAAGTGCTGACATAAAGTGTTTTCCTTTGTTTTCAATGATAAAGCCAAAAAGTGAGACTAGCAGTACTGGTGATTTTCTTATATAACTCGAATGTGGCATTGATGTTTATATGTGGTGTATACACAGCAGTATTATCTGTGTATCTTAAATGACGTCTTACACCTGAGTGTAAGTATATAGTAAACATTTATCAAAGAAAATAGAGGTAAGATGGGTCTGGGGAACTTGCCCATCTTGTAAAATATTTAATGCCTTCTGTTGACACTTGATGGTTATTTTAGTCTACAGTTGAAATCATTCATTCATTCTACAAGTATTTCTTGAGTTTGCCAGGCCTCATGTGGTCACTAGCCCTGGTGAGGAAGCAAACTAAGAAATGGTATTTGAGATGAGATCATGAACACCTCTGAAGATCTGCGCTTCTTTATAATTCACAAGCCAGGCACTCCCCGCAGGTTCCCAGCAGAGCATGTGAGGCCAGCAGAGTGGTCTGTGCCCGGCACAGTCCAGGGTGTCCAGAGGCTGGAGTGGAGGGGCCTTCACCAGTGGTGGGGCTCTCTGCAGGGTGCTGCATGGGTCTTTCTCGAAGATGCTCCTCAGGATGTGTTGGGATCCTAAATAGTGTTCAAATCCTGCTCCTGCCCCAACATGCCTTGCTCAAAAATATGAGAATGTTTGTGATAACATGAAAATGTATCTAAGACTAGCAAATATGAGTACAAATCAAAGTTCAGAGGGCATAGCTTCCAGATAACCCAGTTGCTGGTGTTTTCCTTCACCAGAAGTGAGAAAGTTCAGAAAAATGGATAGACAGATGTGTACGTAACAACCACCCAGGTGGAAGGCAATCTGGCCATTTAAAAACCTGTACATGATTTTGTGTTAGCCCTACGTCTCATTTTGCTTCCACTTGGGAAGACAGTGGAGAAGCAAAACTGTTCCCATGCTGAAGTGCTGAGCGCCCTGTCCGAGTTTTCCGCTTCTGTGCCGGAAGGCCGCTTAAACTCTCAAAACTGTCATTTCCATATCCACCAGGCGGCTTTCTGTGTCTGCACTAGGTGTGACTGCACACCTAATTGAATGGGCGCTTTGTGTGATTTTCCTCTTCCTAACTGAGAAATTCTGTGTTCCTCTGCTAAAGTGATGGATTTTTTTATTCTTGCAGGCATTGATTTGAATATGTGTTTGCTGTCTAACCCTAACTCTCTTTGCCTTGCCGTGCGTGGCTAACCCCCACCGCTCCCTGCAGCATGCTTTCTGTCGGCCTCTATCCTCCTTACTCCTCTGCTGACCCTGTTCCTTTGTTTCTGGCTGCGTGTCCTGGCGGCGGCTGTGTGGGCAGCCCTCGGAGTACAGCGGCCACCTCAACTCCAGCTCCCGCGCCTCCTCCAGGGCCAGCTCGGCCCGGGCCAGCCCTGTGGTAAGTCGGCCTCTTGGCCTTGCTCCTGCTCAGCATCGCCCTCCCTCCCCCTTCCCTTCACCGTCCTCTTCCAACGTCTCCAAATTTAGAATATTACTCTGCAGTGATATTATTAGGAATACATTGCTCAACTTTTCAAGACCATAAAAGAAATTGTTAGCTGCGCTTAGAGATGGGGATCTTAGAGGAGGGAAACTTTATACAGTGGGAGAAAAAATAGAGCCCTGTGCATGGATGTGCAGGGTTTATGTGATTCAAAGATGTGATGTATTGACTGTTCATGTTTTGCCTGAAGTGTTATCTGTGATCAGACCCAGAATGTGTTTAAGGTAAAATATGACCTGTAGCTGCCGGGACGCTCCCTGTTCTGCCCCGATCATTCGTTACCCTGCTGGTTCTCAGATCCCTCGAAATGTGCAGATGTACAGCCCCGCATCCTGTTTGTCACTCAGCATGGCCCAAGTTTTGTTTCAGAAAGTAAGGGCCCTATGAGATCGCCCCCAGCTTGTGAGGCTCATGTGTATTTTTCCCAGGGTCGTTGGAATTTTAGACACAGTTTTACCCGATCTGATGCTTTAAGGTGACTATCACTCTTTTTAAAAGAAGATTTTGCAGGACAGTTTTGGCCCGGGGGGTGTGGAAATGGAGGAGGGGAGGTGGGCACGTGGCTGGGGAAGGGGCTCCAGGCTGCATGACCAGACCAGGTTCCCACCCTCAGGAGCCAGCAGGAAACCCTGGGGAGAAAAAGCAAAGACAGGCGAGGCTTCTCTGCCTCCACTCACATCAAAATTTCCAGCCTGAGCTGAGCATGGTGACTCACACCTGTCATCCCAGCTACTCGGGAGGCTGAGGCAGGAGAATCACTTGAATCCGGGAGGCAGAGGTTGCAGCGAGCTGAGATCGCACCACTACACTCCAGCCTTGGTGACAAGACTCTGACTCAAAAAAAAAGAAAAGAAAAAGCAAATATAAGTATCTACAATTGACAGAGAATGTTGTAGCTTTACTTTCAGTGAATCTCAGACACCCTTAATACCCTCTGCCTTGTGTGATTCAAGTGAGACACAGCAACTGCATTTTGTTAAATATTGTCTTTATTCAAGCCTATGATGAAGTCACAGCGCTCTGCGTAGCCCCTTAGAGATCGAAATGACACAGATTTCTTTGTCATATGAAATTGAAGAGATTGAAATAACACAGATTTCTTTGTCAAATTACTCGCAGGTTTAGGAGATGATCATAAACAGAAAGATGTGGGTTCCGCCTTCCTGGGCGTCCTGGGGCCTGATGGGGGGGGGTGTGATCTCCTTGTATCTGCTCTTCCTTCCTTGAATCAATTGCTAAGCTAACAAAGGTCAGTTGCCCATGGGGCGGTTGGCACACTTAGGGAATGAAGGTCAGAATGCCACAGTGAGGGATGGGGCTGTCCTCCATCTCATCCCTCATCCTGGGTGCCTCATCATGGCTGGGGACCCCACATCTGATGAAACCTCCTGTATGTGGTTCTTAGAATACAGAGGGGTCTCTGGAGAGTGCAGGGCAGTTCCCTAGGGGATGTGGTTACAGTATTCCTTGATTGATCACGTCAAGGACAGAAGGACGGCAAGCACAGGCAGCATCCCTGGTATCTGAAGGGAGCCTGGGAGACAGAACTAAGCTAGCTTGTTTCCACAATTTCCAAAATTCATGGTCCTCTTACACTGAATTAACTCCATTTCTGTTTTCCTTCTTGGGACACTTATGCCATTGCTGTGTATTTTGGACCTCCTGGTACAACAGGAAGCATTGGTGGACGTATTTGCCTTGTTGACAGGAAGAAGCCAGGAGGTCCTGGATGGAACTCCCTGATCCTTCCTCCTGGGAGGGAGGAGCAGCAGGTCTTGGGCAGGGCCTGGGGTGAGCATGGGGGCAAAGGCAAATGACCCTCCAATGTGGCCTTCCTCAGGGTCACATGGAGCAGGAAGTGCTTTAAGGCAAGGTGTTTCAGAACCCAGGTTCAAATGTCACAGCTCTCATTCCTGGCTTGGGACATCTAGCTGGCACATAAGCTTCCTGTGCTTGCCCTGGAAACAGGGGTTATGACACCCTTATATAGCAAAAACAGGCCAGGCGTGGCCGCTCACGCCTGTAACCCTGGCACTTTGGGAGGCCGAGGAGGGCGGATCATGAGGAGTTTGAGGCTAGCCTGACCAACATAGTGAAACCCCGTCTCTACTAAAAATATAAAAATTAGCCAGGGATGGTGGTGCACACCTGTAATCCCAGTTACTCAGGAGGCTGAGGCAGGAGACTCTCTTGAACCTGCGAGGCGGAGCCTGCAGCGAGCCAAGATCATGCCATTGTACTCCAGCCTGGACAACACAGTGAGACTGTCTCAAAAAAAAAAAAAAAAAAAAAAAGCAAAAACAACCAAACAAAAAGAGGCGTGGTTACTCTGTTTCTCCGTGGCTGGGGTTAGCCAGGGATGGGTTACAGTCGTTCTAGCCAGCAGCTCATGGAACATGCTCCCAGGCCGGGGACTTCATCGGGAACACGTATCCAGGGCCAGTTTGAGTGAGGACAGAGGACAAGGAAAATGTGAAGTCAGGCAGGGGCCGCCCTGCAGGCTCTACAGGAAGCCCCGCCCCGTGTTTGGGGGATGCAGGTGTACAGGTGAACTTGTCACACCTGTCAGAGGGGAGGGAGGGCTGGTGCCCCCTGTGGGGTGGCAGGAGGGCAGTGGTATTAAAGGGCAGTAGTAACCAGAACGGAGTGGCCACTTGTCCCACTTCAAGAAAATAAAATGCTTCAGTGTCCAGAGACCACCACCAGGGTCAAGACCTAAAGTTTTTTCTACTCACTTGGTCCTCCCAGGGTCCTTGGGAAAGCAGAGGGTATCAGCCCCATCTCAGAGGGACACAGAATACTGTTCACCTCATGCACATCTTCTCCCATGCTGTAGATGAGCTGTGTTTTCTTTCTCTCCAGCATGGCCAGGATCTTCTCCTTGAGGACGTTGTGTTTCATTCATTCATTCAGTGTTTACTGAGTGCCTAGAATGTTCCAGAAACAGGGCCCTTGTATGAGCAGACAGACCCGCCCCAGCCCTCATGGGACACACAGACAGGGGCAGACAGATGCTCACTGGGTGATCACACGTGGTGTGAAGCCCAGCAGCGTGGGTGTGCGGGGAGGCAAAGGTGCCTGGAGAGCTGGAATCCGGAGGTTTCACGGCCCAGACTTGGGCCACTTCCAAGCAGAGCGGCTCTACGTGGTGAAGCTGACAGGTCCAGGTCATCCAGGCCCCGGAATCCCACTGGGAACCTGGCAAAGCCACCACGTTTCTGAAACATCCAAAAGGAATATCCCAAGGAAAAACCGGGTCCGTATCTTACCTTGTGTGTTCAGAGAAGACAGGAGCGATGGACTCAGGTCTCTGCCCCTTTGAACTAGAAAAACAACACTGTTTTGACTCCTGGTTTTCATTGCACACAGAGGCAGGGGCAGGGACCAGGTGGAAAACCAGTTCTTGAATTATAAACACCAGAGTTCAAATATTAGTCATTCAGGCTAAAGTAAATATTATTGGATTTAAAACCAAAAACGGTCACTCTAATGGTAGATTCTGCTATCATTGAAATCTGAAGGAAAATGACCCTTAAAATGGGTGTTTTCTGAGCAGTGTTTGCTGTTAGTTTGTGTCTGGAGAGGGACCTCGCAAGGATGTGGCTTCAGTGATCCTGTTTTCCACCTGGGTCTGGTGTTGTCTGGCTGGGCATTGGGGACAGCCTCCTTTTTGTACCTGGGCCCTTGAATAGGGTCCCTCTGGGTCCGTGAACAGGTCCACATAATCTGTCTCTAGGAAACATGGAAAACCTAGTGCCGAAGCCTCACCAGGCATGGTGCATACAGGAACCTAAGTAGTAAACTTTAGACACAATGTTAGAAGGTTGAATTAATAAAATATTTAATGTGCTCCTTTTGAAGCATTTGCTTTTAAAAGGAAAATTGACATAAACTAATTCCGCAGACGTGTTTTAGAAGTGACTATTTCCAGATTTTCAGCGATGTCTTTGTATACACTCAGCTGTGACTATAAAATACAACACACATCCTTTATCAACCTGTTCGTGTGAAGCTTCACCCTGACCTGCAGTGTTTAGGATGGCTCGGAATACGGGAGTGTGGCGCTGACAGGCTGCTCTGTACGCGGTGGCCTGGCCCTTCCCGTGCTGGAGGCCGCTTCTGCAGCGTTCGGGGCTTGGCCGTCCTGGGCTGGGGTGGGCGGGCAGGGCAGCCTGCACCGCCTGCGGCCACTGTGCCCTCTGCCCACCTCCTCCAGGCCTCCACACCAGGCCATGCCGTGGCCAGGACAGTGTTTAAAATCCTGGCATGTGTTCCATCTCTTCGTCATTTTAGAGAGGAATTGCGTGCTTTGTGTGAAGATGACACACACCATCTGATTCCTTGCCCAGCTCTGCGAGGGCTTAGGAAAGGGGGCTTGGTTAAGGTGGGCACCACTGCCCGCGGCCTCTGGCCGGGCCTGGCCCCTGCAGCGGCGACACACCGCCATCTGGTGGACGCCCTTGGGGCTGCGTGGCTCTCCACCGGGCTGCACTGCCTTCCCGTATTTCAGGAAATTTGGGGGGCAAATCCCTTTTCATTCGGACGACACACAAAATGAAATTTATTATGTAAAATAGAGAGAGGTTGCACGTACATTTGCCATCAGCTTTCATCAAGAGCTTAATTTTTAGTTTTCTTCTCCATGGTCTCTACTTTAAAATATGCCCAGATTTTCTTTTGAGTCCGCTATGTTTTTCAGAGCACGGACTTTTGAAAAAAATGATAGAAACAGCAAACTATGGTTTTTGGGAGTTTTTTCCCCTTATTTGATGTTTTACAAATTATAAAAACGGTAGATGTATACGGTTACAAGTAAAACCGTGCAGGACAAAGATGTGGTAACGCCCTGCCCCCCAAAATCAAGGTTTATAGGACCAGTGTGTATTCTTTCTCAACTCTCTTGCAAGAAATATCAAAAAAAAAAAAAAAGACTTGGTGGGCCCTTCTTTTACGGACACAGCTGTCTTTGTAAATAGACGGACACATACCTGGAGCTTCATTTATTTGTACACAATATTGACCCATTGCTGACGAGCAGCCAGAAAACATACATTTTACACCATGGAGCCAAAATGCCACTGGCTTTTCAGGGGTAACTTGGCAGTCTATTAAACTGGATTTTTTTTTTTTTTTTTTTTTTTTTTTTTTTGAGATGGAGTCTTGCTCTGTAGCCCAGGCTGGAGTGCAGTGGCGTGATCTCAGCTCACTGCAACCTCTGCCTCCTGGGTCCAGGTTCAAGCAATTCTCCTACCTCAGCCTCCCAAGTTAACTGGGATTATAGGCACAAGCCACCATACCCAGCTAATTTTTCTAATTTTTCGTAGAGATGAGATTTCACCATATTGGCCAGTCTGGTCTTGGAACTACTGACCTCGTGATCTGCCCACCTCAGCCTCCCAAAGTGCTGGGATTACAGGCATAAGCCACCATGCCCAGCCTAAACTGGATTTTCATATCCCATCAAGTGTTAAACTACCCTCTTTATTTTCATCTTATTAATATTTGTTTCGCAAACTAATTTATTCTAAGGAATAAAGGCTTTGGGCCAGGAGATTTAATGAATTGATTCTCCAGCAAACTACGTGCTAGATAGTTCACATTTCCTTGTTATTTGAAATCCTGTTTTATTGTATTTTATTGAGACAGGGTTATACTCTGTCACCCACCCTGGACTGCAATGGCACAATCTCAGCTCACTGCAACCTCCGCCTCCTGGGTTCAAGAGAGTCATCTGCTTCAGCCTCCTGAGTAGCTGTTATTACAGGCACATGACACCACACCCAGCTAATAGTTGTGATTTTAATAGAGACAGGGTTTTGCCACGTTGGCCAGGTTGGTCTTGAACTCCTGACCTCAAGCAATCTGCCTGCCTCGGGCTAAAGTACTGGGATTACAGGCGTGAGCCACCACGCCTGGGCCTTGAAATTTAGATTGAAAAATATTTCAGGAATATTTTTATTTCCGTGTGAAGAGAAGAACCATATTTGAACTGTTTCAATCATCCTCATAACTCAGGACATGGCTGCAGGGCTTCTGCGGCTCCGCTAGATGAGATGGTACCCATCTGATCAGAGTCTGTCTTCATACGCATCTGATCGGAGTCTGCCTTGGTGCCTCTGAATACATAATTAGGCTGATGTGGCATGCACATCTGAAAAAGTAACTCTAGATGTGCATTTTTACACATCAGCAAATGCAGGAGACTGGTTGGAGGAGAGTAGAAAGTTTATTTTGAAGACCCGGATGCAGGGTGGGTGGGTGAGACCGTGTGATGGCTTTGGGAGCCGGGCCACAGGGTTTAGCTTGGATATGTTGAGTAGCAGACCCTTAAACGTGGCCACCCTGAGCTAAGAGCTGGTCTTGGATTTTGCTTTCTTTTGGATTAACCGAGTATTTATGGGACTCCATTTGGTCCCCTTAACTGGCTGCCCAGCTGTAACTCCTGGTTACGTTGTTTCCGTGGTTGCCCCAGGTGTCCCTGGAGGAGGAGTTGAAGGTGCAAGGAGTTTGCAGGAGGGAAGGTGGCAGTTAGTGACCCTCCCTGGTCGGGCTGGATGGTGAGGGCGGTGGCAGTTAGTGACCCTCCCTGGTCGGGCTGGATGGTGAGGGCAGGGGCATCTGGCCATAAGATGGGAAGCGGTCATTTGGAGATCACCATCTCCCTGGCACCCTGACCGTAGCACCTGCACCCCTGTGCTGAGCTGCTGGTCCCCGGCACCAGCGTCTGTGCGGTTCAAGTGTCGGTGAGCCATGGACTCGGCAGGGCTCCATCGGGATTCTCAAGCTTCACTCTGAATGGTCTCTGTGTGAGCTCATGAGGGTGACTGCAGAGTCCCAGGTCACCTCTCAGATCTGCTGAATCAAAGACGTGGTCTACAGTTGCCATGTATGTCTTTGGCTGATTTTCTGGTGGTCAAAGTAAAGAAGCTCTGAGCTATGGGAAGCTGGGTTGAAGACATGACAGGGAAGACATGATCAGTTGACAGCTTTTCCCAGAGAGTTTGGAGACAAACTCAACTTTGGTAACCTTCCCAGTGGGCTTATGATAAGAACCTTCAGTGTGCTAAAAGAAAAAAAAAAAAAGAGGAGCATTCCAGGTAGTTAATCTTTGTTTAAACAAGCCCCTCTCCCCTAGAAAGAAAAAAAACAAAAACAGGAAAGAGAAGAAAAGAAACCTGTCTTTTGTTGGATGCTGAGCCAAGAAAGAAGTAACGGCTCTGCCAGCCTCGGCCACTTGTCCCGAGACACCCTCATGGTTCAGGGCTCTCTCCAGGGTCTGTTCCTCATGTGCACCCCCTCTTGTAGTTCTACAGGCTGTCGTGGGTCCCACTGAGACTCCTACCTGAGGACGGAGAAGAGGGGGCCCCAGGGACGTCCAAATAGGAGAGGTGTGAAAAGCCAAATTTGGAGGGTCCCACTTTTCTGCTTCTAAATTACAAAGGAAGGGCCTGTTTTGTTTGGTTCTGTTTGGTTTTTTCATCATTCTTAGCCCCTATCTTCATGTTATCCATTTAATGCTTATTTTGTCCATTTTCCTCTACAGGTAGAAGAGAGACCAGAAAAAGATTTTACTGAGAAGGTAAGGAATTGTTCATAAACCTAGAGGGTCCCAAAAGTTATGGATGAAATTGATAAGAAAATATGTTGCTTGGTCTTGGTCTTTTTCATAAAGATGTTCTTCAGTGAGGGAACAGGACTAGAAAGCGCCCCACCCAACCTGGCATCACTTCCCTGTAGGGAGGCCCTGGGGAGTCCTGTCTAGTGTGTGTTAGACCCTGCAGAGCTGGGAGGCATTTGTGATGGGCCCAACCGTAGAGCTTAGGGTTAATTCAGCCAATCACAGAGCACAGGAGGTGCCTGGAAATGATCCTCTCCTTAAGCTTCCATAAGTCCATGCAGAGTTTCCAGTTTGGAGATGGAGCTAAAGTAACAGTCCTGTGATATTAGGTTTATATGCAGTTTTGGTTTTGTCTAAAATTGTATCTGTGTTAGTCCGTTCTTACACTGCCATAAAGAATTTCCCTGAGACTGGGTAATTTACAAAGAAAAGAGCTTTCATTGATTCACAGTTCCGCCTGACTGGGGAGACCTCAGCAAAGCCACAATCACAGTGAAAAGGGAAGCAGGCACCTTCTTCACAAGGCGACAGGAGAGAGAATGTGTGAGGGAGGAACTGTCAAACACATAAACCCTCAGATCTCCTGAGAACTCACTCACTATCGCAAGAACAGCATGGGAAAAACCACCCTCCTCATGAGGCAGTCACCTCCCACAAGGCCCCTCCCTCGACATGTAGGGATTATGGAAATTACAATTCCACATGAGATTTAGGTGTGGACACAGAGACAAATCATATCAGCATCTGATCCTCTCAACGTTCCAGGGGTCTCGTAACATGCCAGGCCTGTCTGCAGCCACGCTGGCCTCTCTGGGTGGGACTTCCTCTCGGAGAGGCAGCGGAGACACCTCCATCTCCATCGACACCGAGGCATCCATCAGGGAAATCAAGGTGAGACACTCTCTTGGTACTCATGACTTGAGAGAACCTTTTGTAAAAATCAGACTTTAGATTTTAAAACAGTGACTTAATTCACAACGTGCTGCATCTTTCTTCCTGGTCCTGTCTGCCTCACCTCCCCTAAAATATGGTGTTCTCCTAATATCAAGACCCAGCTCAGATAGTGTCTCCTGCGGGAGGCTGATCCTACCCACCAATCCCCCAGCAGGGCGGAGGTGTGCTGGCCCCCCTCGCCCCTCAGCACCCGGGGCGTACCTTAGTGAGAGTCCTTACCGCATTGCGTTGATGAGCCTGGTCATCTCTGTATGGTTGGTCTGTGTAGACATTCAGTCTACGTGTTTGGACACCAGATGGCTCTACCTACTTTCACACAACCTTCCTGGCTAAGTATCTTCCCCTTCAGCCTAGAACATGCCCTTCCCTTTCTCTTTGTAATGTGCCTTTAGTAGACCTCATCTTTGTATTTTAATGATTTTTTTCCTCCCACTATAATGTAGGTATTCTCTGCTCTATCCTCGGCACCCAGGGCAGTGCCAGGCGTTTGGTAGCATTTCGTGTGTGTGAGAGAGAAACAGTGCTATTTGTTAAAGTAACCAGGGACAGTGTGCCTGAAAACCTAAAAACTGGAAGGGAAGCTGAAGTGACTGGATCTTGTGTCCTCCCGGGAGCAGAACCAAGACAGAAGGAGCTGAAAGCAGCCATAATTGACTCTGTTTCTGAATTTTCTAGTACTTTAAACTAGGTTTAAAAGGGAAGCAGTTCCCACTGGGGATGTCTGAGCAGCTGGACGGCCGTTTGCCAGGGAAGACAGAGAGAGATTTCAGCATCCGCCAGAAGTTGGCCAGGGTCACGTTGAAGATGCTTCCAACGCCTTTGCTTTATAAGCTTTCAAAACCAGAAGAGCTATTTCCCATGTGCCACCCAGGGCCACCTGCAGCTCCTTGCCGCCTCCCTTTCTATAGCAGAGTTGGAGGCAGTCCTCATGTGTCTCTGCCTTTAGGTTGCAAGTACTTACTGAGAGGCTGGCTTATGCCAGATGCTGTCCCAGGCACCAGGAATTTGGCAGAGTAGAGACTCGGAGCTCCATAGATGCAGGGCAAAGTGTTGCTGATTCCTGCCTCCAGCATCTTACCGTGCCTTGCACAGAGCAGGAACTCAAAGTGCTTGAACGAACTAACTAAATAGGAGTGAAACAACCTGTAACGTTTTCAGATGCTCTTTTGCCTGTTTTTTAAAACTATGTAAAGTTATATGAGATACACCAAAATTGCATGAAATCATGTGAAATGTCATATGGGATACACCAGAATTTTAATCGTTAAATACTGAAATTTATTTTATTTCCTTTAATACTTAATAAAAGAAAAGTGGGTGCTCAGATTATCCAAATAGAAACCACTCTGAAGTATGAAAGATTTAGGGAATCACCTCTTTTCCCTTGACATCATCTGCCTTTTTTGCCATTTCCCCCAGGAACTCAATGAGTTAAAGGACCAGATTCAGGATGTAGAAGGCAAATACATGCAGGGATTGAAAGAAATGAAGGTACCGAACACAGAAATATGGCCTCATGATATTAACCCAACTTAACCTTAAAAAAAAAACCCTAAAGAAGAAATTCAAAGTGCATGCTTGCTGTGAAGAGTCTCTGTGCTGTGAAAGAACTCAAAATGGCAGGAATGCTGGCATGGGCACACACTCACCATTGTCCCAAATGCATTGTTTGAACCAAGACTTGCAAATGTAACTCCCCAGTAGAAAAGGTTGCTAACATACTCCCTGACACATGTCTTGTATCGTCATCCTTCCTCCAGACTTAAAACCAGTCTCTCATTTCCCATCAATGTGCACCAGACGTTTAAAGAAGGTTTTTGGTTTTCTTCACTTTTTGTAGTAGTTGAATACAAAAATGCTTCAATTGATTTGCGTCTCAGAATATCTGACGTCTACTAATAAGGCCATCCTAACACGCCATGCTTCTGAAACATGCCAATTATTTGCCTCCTATAAAATGTTACTAAGTGAAGCAAAGCCTGACTGTGTCGCACTGGCTTTCTGGAGCATGTGCACACTGCTTTTAGAGTGTGGAGTGACTCTTGCAGCAGCGAGATGTGGTTGCCCTGTTCCTTGACAGTAAGGTGAGCAGTCACTGACCATCTTCATGGGCAGCAACAGATCATGGATCTGGAAGTAGCTGCCAAATCTGTTACTTCCTTTTCAGCCCCCTAGAAAGTACATGAGAGATGTCTGAATTTAATATCAAAGGTCACCAGACAGAAGAGGTGACAACAATCACGACTAATTCATTATCTTCATATCTGCTATCTTTCCCGAAAGGGGGAAAAATAAGACTCTGACTTTCAATTCATGTGAAAAAGGGAGCCACTTGGCCGGGCGCAGTGGTTCACACCTGTAATTCCAACACTTTGGGAGGCCAAGGCAGGTGGATCACCTGAGGTCAGGAATTTGAGACCAGCCTAGCCAACATGGCGAAACCTTGTCTCTACTAAAAATACAAAAATTAGCCGGGTGTGGTGGTAGATGCCTGTAATCCCAGCTATTCAGGAGGTTGAGGCAGGAGAATCACTTGAACCTGGGAGATAGAGGCTGCAGTGAGCCAAGATCATGCCACTGCACTCCAGCCTTGCTAGACTCTGTCTGAAAAAAAAAAAAGATGAGGGGAGCCACTGAACCAACCAGAGACCCGCTGGCCTCACCGGATACCGCCGCTGGTGTGGAGGTACAGAGCTAGACCAGCACTGGTCCCTGCGGCCCCTCATAGCCGCTGCTGCACCTGAGCAGGCAGCTCCTGCCTCTGCCTTCAGCTCCGCATGTGTGCGCCCTGACAGTTCTGCTCTTTCTGTTCTGGAATCGCCTTCCCCTTCTTCTGTTTGAGGACCTGCGAGGGTGTGAGACATGTGAGGGCATTGCCATGAATATTTTACAGGCCTCTTTCTCTGGACTGTCCTTCAAAGGGAATAACTTCGTCTTTCCAGGACCTACCCAGTGGGACCTGCGTGCCTTTTTCCTATAGGTTGAAAATCGGTAATCACTACTGCCCCTTTCCTGGTTCATAGCTGGAGCAGGACTGGTTGGCAGTCACTGTGGCCTGTGGCCCTGTGTAATTATCTCAGCTGTCACACGCCGGCTCTTTCCCAGGGGCCGGTCACACCGCTCGAGTGATCCTTCAGAAACCTGTCGAACAGCCTGACCCCCAGCCCTAAGACACCACTCTGGGAGGATTCCCCAGCTACTGAGTGGGACCAGAGACCCCGCTGCCTCTGTGGCCACCTCCCTTTCCACACTGGTGTCTCCTTTGTTCTAATGAGTGTGCACATTGCTTTTAATAGTAAATTTTCTGAGCAATGAGAATTTGATCAAACTGAAAAGGGAGGATTTCCATGTATTTCAAGTTGCCATGTGTTTCTTCTGATCCATTTGCTCTAAGAAATACAATGTAAATTTAGGGCTGAGGTTTTTTTTTAACAGAATACTGAATGATTCATTGTTTTGATTTTTTTTATTGCACTTTCAAAAATATTACCTGCTTTCCACAGGACTCTCTAGCAGAAGTTGAAGAGAAATATAAGAAGGCCATGGTTTCCAACGCTCAGCTAGACAATGAAAAGACAAACTTCATGTACCAGGTCGATACCCTAAAAGATATGTTGCTGGAGCTTGAAGAACAGCTGGCTGAATCTAGGCGGCAGTACGAAGAGAAAAGCAAAGTAAGCGTTAGTATGACACAGAATCGTAGAATAGGCAGGGTGCAGTGGCCGCTGCCTGTAATCCCAGGACTTGGGGAAGCCAACATGGGAGGGTCACTTGAGCCCAGGAGTTCAATACCAGCCTGGGCAATATGGCGAGACATCATTTCTATAAAAATTTTAAAAGCCATTAGCCAGGCATGGTAGTACATGCCTGAAGTCCCAGCTACTTGGGAGGCTGAGGTGGGAGGATCACTTGAGCCTGGAAGGTTGAGGCTGCAGTGAGCTGTGTTGACACCACTGCACTCCAGCTTGGGCAACAGAGAAAAGCCTGTCTCAAAAAAAAAAAAAACAGAATGGTAGGTGGCGTGTGTGTGTGTGTGTGTGTGTGTGTGTGGTGTTTATATGTATGTGTGTCTGTATATATAACATATAATTTACATTGTGTATTTTTATATTTTTAAACAATGGTTCTCCACTTTTCCAGGAAATCCAGACATCTGAGAATAAAAGTACCACACTCTGCTATGCAACTTGAAATATTGATACGTAATTTCAGCATGTAAACTAGAGACAGTTTTTCTAGGAGAACATGTAAGCTAAACTCATAACCATGAAAAAACATGCCTATGAAAGATAAGGTGTGATCAGATGCTTCAAGATTTTCCGGTTAATATATATTTTCTGACTTTTATTTTGTTCTCTCTTAACACGAAATAGTTATGAGTTTCAAAGATTTTAAGAAAATTATATTATTTTCTGCCAATTGGGAAAAGACACAGTTACTCCATTTAAGAATTAAATACACCATTAAGCTCAGAGAGTCTTACTTGCACTTTCATTAAGAACCACTGGAACTAGCTTGTTCATAGCTGATATCAGATACAATTTCTAGTCATATATTAAGATCTCAAGCATGAGTCATATATTAAGATAAGTAATGACAGCAGACTGATTCCATGAAGACTGGGCTTGGATGTCCTTCATGACATAGAAAGCAAAGAATACTCTTTTTATATTTTTAGGAATTGTCCAATTTTTCAGAGATTCTGAGAGAAACAGAAAATGTGTGAGTGTTGTTGTTTTATTGTTTGTTTGTTTGTTTGAGATGGAGTCTCACTCTGTCCCCCAGGCTGGAGTGCAGTGGCATGATCTCGGCTCACTGCAGTCTCCGCCTCCCAGGCTCAAGTGATTCTCCTGCCTCAGCCTCCCGAGCAGCTGGGACTACAGGCACGTGCCACTACACTCGGGCAATTTTTTTTTTTTTTTTTAACTAGAGACGGGGTTTCACCATGTTAGCCAGGATGGTCTTGATCTCCTGACCTCGTGATCCACCCACCTCAGCCTCCCAACGTGCAGGGATTACAGGCATGAGCCACCACGCCCGGCCTGTTGTTGTTTTTAACTGGCTTATATCCTCTAAATCCAAAGAGTTAAAACCAAGGTATCCTTGGCGACCTGCAGGCCTGCATCTTTGCTGCAGAATTGAGTTAGAAGCTAAAGAAGATTTTACTCCCAAGGTTCCTGGTAGCTGAACTCTGAAAGAGAGGAGAGGCTTTTCACAAGACCAGTGTCATGTGGGAACGGAGGGGTGGAGAGCACATCCCAACCCCTGCTTGGTGGGGGCCTGTAGTGCATTTGCACTCCTCCTGAAACACTGTCGTTAGACATCATTCAGTGGACTGAGAACTCCCAAGTCTCACTCCAGAGAAGCTGGATGGTGGTAGAATGCTATCCCAACATGGATTCAGGAGCCATTGCAAAGCCCCACAGGAAGGCCCTTGTCATAGCCAGGAGGGCATTAGCCACCCTCAAGCTAAGGGAAGTAGGTGAACAGAGGTACCAGGGAGAGCAGAAGCCCAGGCCAGATCCATCTCAGATCACTCGACTGATGGGTCTAGGGAAGGGGTGCCCTGCAGGCCCGTAAGCTGTCAGCAAAGTGAGCTGGGCCCCTGGCCATCACCAGGGGTTGCGCTGCTGTGACTGGGCAGGGAAACAGCAGAGCGGAGCTGCCAGCTTCCTGGGCTGAGCCTTGGGAGGGAAGGCCAGGCCTGAGGAGCAGCTCGGCTTTGCAGGCTCTTCACTTCTCCCCCAAACTCTCTTGATTTTGTTCCTTAAGGGGCAGCCCCGAAGCACAGAGCTGGCTACCAGCTGGTCATGAGAGATGCGTAAGGAGGCCGTATGTATCTCTTCATCCCAAAGAGTCTTCCTTGTCATATTTCAGCAGGTGCCTTGCAGGACACCCTCACCCAGCTTCTTAGCACAGTGCTGTGGAAGGCACCAGGCTCCCTGGGCGGGGGGCCTTCCTCAGCTCTTGCTTCACTGTAGATAAGAAATCAGGAAATCCTTGTTGATTGCATCAACTCCTCAGGTTAACTTTACAGTAAGTCATCAGGCATCATCTACAAAGTCCAGAGGAATCTGTTTGTGTTGTTTAAAAGGCCTTGAAGGTGGTTCACACCAGTAATCCCAGCACTTTGATAGGCTGGGGCAGGTGGATCGCTTGAGGTCAGGAGTTCAAGACCAGTTTGGCCAACATGGTGAAACCCTGTCTCTACCAAAAAAAACAAAAATTAGCTGGGTGTGGTGGTGGGAATTTATAATCCCAGCTACTCGGGGAGCTGAGGCAGAAAAATCTTTGAGCCCAGGAGGCAGAGGCTGCAGTGAGCTGAAATCATGCCACTGCATTCCAGCCTAGGTGACAGAGTGAGACTGTCTCAAAAAATATATAAATATAAAATAAAATAGAAGACCTTGAAGGTTGTGATGACGTCTAGCAGATGATTTGTTCCACAGGAACTGTAAATCATGAGAACCTGAACTGGCATGCCAGGAACATGAGATTCCACCGCTTTAGTGCTGTGTTTCTCCTTTACAGGACTTTGAAAGGGAAAAACACGCCCATAGTATACTGCAGTTTCAGTTTGCCGAAGTCAAGGAGGCCCTGAAGCAAAGAGAGGAAATGCTTGAGGTAGGCCACATTCTCCCGTTTTGCTTCTCCTTTTCTCTTTTGGAGCATTTTGCCAGGCCACGACTATCTTACCTTAGGCTGCAGTAATAAAATACCATACACTGTGCGGCTTAAACAACAGAAATTAATTTTCTCACAATTCTAGGGGCTGGCAGTCCAAGATCAAGGTTGGGTTCTGGTGAGGCCTCTCTTCCTGGCATGCGGACAGCCGCCTTCTTGCTGTGTCCCTCCTCAAATGGTGGAGAAAAACAATCTCTCTGGTGTCTCTTCTTATAAGGACACTAGTCCTATTTGATCAGGACCCCACTCTTATGACCTCATTTTACCTTAATTACTTCATAAAAACCCTATCCCCAAATACAGTCACATTGGGCATTAAGGCATCAACAGATGAATTTAGAAGGACACAACTCATTCCATGGTAATTACTAACGTTTTCAGTTTTCTTAAAACTGAGTTTAGGCTAACTCTCCATCCCTAGATTAAGGAAACAGTGCCTCTCATTGGTGAAGATCCCTGTTCTTTGGTGATCTTGTATTTGTTTTGGGAGGTGTGGTAGACAGAATAACGGCCCCTCAAAGTTGTCCACATCAGAATCCCCGGAAATTGTAAATGTGAAACCTTACATGGTCAAAGGGCCCCTGCAGTTGTGATTAAATTAAAGACCTTGAGAGAAGGGATTATCCTGGATTATTTTGGTGGAACAAGGGTCCTTCTAAGAGGAAGGAAAGTCAAAGGCAAAAATAGAAGATGTGACACAGGAAGCTGAGGTTGGAGTGATACAAGGAAGGGGCCATGAGCCAAGGAATGTAGCTCAGTTTCAGAAGCTGGAAAAGACAGGGAAGCAGATTCTCCCAGCAGCCTCCAGAAAGGCTTGGTTTTAGCCCATAAGACTCACTTTGGACTTCTGACCTCTAGAATTGCAAGAAAATAAATTTGTGTTTTAAGCTGCTGAATTTATGATGATTCATTACAGTAGCAATGGGAAACTAATACAGGGTTGGTTTTTAATTTTTTTACTTAATCTGCACTTTACTGCCCTGAAGTGAGAACTTCACCCAAAGCAGGTTTTCTTCCTGCACTTCTTGAAGCCAGGAGTAGGACAAGGGAAAAAACCCTGGAATGCTGGCAATGAATTCAGGGGTGATGAGGTAAAAGGGTGCTTGTGGCTTCACTCACTGTCCCAGCCTCAGGTTATCTCGGGCTGGGGTTTTTCTTCCTCTTTAACCCTTTGTCTGCTTTCTATCTGTTCCTTTCCTCAGGAAATCCGACAGCTACAGCAGAAACAGGCGAGTTCTATCAGGGAGATTTCTGATCTTCAGGAAACAATAGAGTGGAAAGACAAAAAGTTAGGGGTAGGATTCTCAAGTCTTTGAAAATCTACCCTCACGGGCAGGCTACTTAGCAAATAGAGTTTTTCCAGAGTCTTTGGTTTGCAAAACCGCTTGTCTGAGTATGCATGCAACTCCCATGTGACACAAAGTTGTATTAATTTATTTAATTTTATTAAGTAGTGAAGACTCTAACTTGTCCAAATTGATAAGAACTTGGAAGGTAACATGGACTCTCCATGGAGGGTCTGGTGAATGCATAGCCATACTCTCTGCCTGCCCCATGGGTGGTTGTTGAAACACCTGGAGTGAGGAGGGCACTGTGGGGAGGTCTGATGTGTGCAGGGCCAGGCTTCTTGGGATTCTCTGCCTGGTTGTGCTTTGAGAAAAAAAAAATCTAAGCAGCACCAGGCAGAGTATTCCCACCTTGAAATCTTCCCCAGGGGAAGCCTCCCCCAAACTCTTCTCCCTCCATGAGAAGAGAAGAGGCAGTTCTGCACTTAGAATTGAAGAATGGGGAATAGAATCCCACAAAGTAACTGTTATGATTCATAATGACAAATGGTTTCCCCAGATTAGCGACTCATACGCATAGCTCTCATAATGACCCCAAGATGTCCGCACATGGACTCAACAAGCCACGCTGTGTTTCCACTGTCATGCTTATCAGCATTTAGGATTGTGTGTGTGTGTTTGTGCACGTGCACACACACACTTTAGGACCACTTTGTTTATCTGAGACGATGGATACCAAAAATCAATGTATAAAAATAGTCTAAATGGCTACAACAGCCTTCCTGGGGGGTGCCTAGCAGTGCTTCTTTTTCTTTATTGATTCTTCATTCCAATGGAGACTCTGCTTAACTCTACTGCTAACGCAGCTGTGAACTTGCAAAGCTAGAAAGCGATGCAAATACAGTAACCTCCGGGGCCTGTGCTGTGTGTGTGCTTCAAAATGTGCATGTCTTTCGGCGAGTATGAATAGCAACACTTCTTGGACTCTGTGTACTAAATGAAAAGCTTAATACTTGGATTTTGTTAGTATCTTTAGGCAGAGTCTCTTTAATGTCTAGAGTCGACTAGTGTTTTAGACGGTAGAAGCCTCCTTCTGGTTCCTGCTTCTGAAGTAACCTGCTCATCTGTGCACATCTTCTTTCTCTTGGCTCTGCCGCACACTCAGGCATTAGAGAGGCAGAAAGAGTTCTTTGATTCCATAAGGAGTGAACGGGATGATCTTAGAGAAGAAGTAGTCATGCTCAAAGAGGAATTAAAGGTATGAAGCCAAAGTACAGTTCTGTAAAAACCCAGGTGACAACAGCAAATTCTGGGATTCTGTGAATATGTGTGTACATAATTAACTTTATGTCACTGATTTTAGTTCTGTTAATGATCCGTATCCTAGGTTAACTGACACTGACGAGATGTAAAATAAACGTAGATTCAGTGGGTTGTGCTCAAGGCCTTTTGACATTAATAAACATAGCTGATCTTGAACGCAAGAATTTTTTGATGTATTATCTAAATTTTTTCATACTCATTAGTAAATTCTCCAAGATATTACTCAGACTTAGAGAATGTATTTGCGTCTTTATATTAAAGCCCCCAATTTAAGGACTTCTCAATTTAAGTCACTTAGATGAACAGTGACTTGGGTAAGTGGTTTGGGCAAGGATCCCGCTAATTAGACTTTGAGACCTACTAGATTACAGGTGGAAGAAGGTTCCCTGTTCTTTGTGGGCCATGCCAAGGCGTCTTCAGCTGCTGCTCGACGCAGGTGAAGCGCCAATGGCAGCATTCTGGGTGGGCGGGTTCCTGAAGTGCCACCATCTGCTCTTGGCCTCCAGGGTCAAAGCCAGATCAGTGAGCCAGCAGCTACAGGCTTAGAGCTAAGATGTGTGCTTCTGCTCCTCAAAGAGGTGATGAGACAGGGGAGTTCCTCACACACGAGGGAGAGAGCCGTGGGTGGCAGGAGGGGGCGGGTGAGTGATGTCTGGAGTGGTGAAGTCAGCTGTTTTCAGTGAGCTATCTTTCTTTTGAATGTACTGGACTTTCTAGCCACCTCTTAATTTCTTCTTTAACATAAGTTTCATCCGTCCCTTTCAGAACACATACATCTTTCTTTCTATATCTGGCTCCTCTTTTTAAAGAATGCAACCAGGGTTTTACAATGAAAGGTTGCTTGACAGTGACTTGCCGCTCCACCTGCTGGCAGCCCACAGGCTACTCCTTCTAGTTCAAAAGGATGCCTGGTGGAAGTATCTTGTCACCAGCAAATTAAGGCATGGATTGGAGCATCTGAGAAAGCAGTAGCCTTTGGAGGACGATATCCCAGATTTGTATGTGTTGACCAAGCATTTACGAGTGCCGCACCTTCGCATTTCTCTGTCTCTGTGGAGTTACCCTGCACTTCAGGAAAAATGGCTTTCTTTTTTATTAGTTGTGTTAAAACAGAGTTTAACCGAATATCACCGAGCAGATATTATGATGAGCCTATTTTTGTTCCCAGAAACATGGAATAATCCTAAATTCAGAAATAGCTACCAATGGAGAGACTTCCGACACTCTTAATAATGTTGGATACCAAGGTCCCACCAGGTTGACAAAAGAAGAGTTAAATGCCCTCAAGTTGACAGGGGATGGGACTCTAGGTAAGTAACTGCTTTCCTTCGGTTCCCCCACCTTTCCAATCAGCATTTGCTCACCCTCCATGTGCTGCTGGGGTTGGAGCCATTGTCACTGATGGATTAACAGTCACCGGCATGCCATTTGTTTCATCACTTCATGGTAACGTCCTTGCCACCCGGTGTGGTCACCCACGCGTTGTCTGGCATGCATCTCTGTGTAGTGCTCACCGTCAATGGCTCAGGTATACCTTCCTTTTGCTGCTCAAAGCTACCAAGCAAGACTGCGAATGCAAGGAAAATAGTCTCAAAATTAAGTAACAATGTGGAGAGTACTATTTGGTTTTCCTCAGATACATCTGTATCTGTACACATAAAGTGTGGCTTTTTAAATCGATTCTATGACAGAATTATCAAACGATCAGAATAGTTGAACCCATCAAGTCAGTTAGTTGGCCATGTTTGCAAGCCAGCATCGACATGCTGGGCAGTGTTCAGCATTCTGAGGGTGCCTGTGGACAGCAGGTCTGTCTGCATTGCCATTTTCAAGCCACCACTTGAGGTGGGCAGGCGCTGTGGTAGGGGATGTGGCAGTGCTGAGAGTCTGAATATGCCCACTTTTGTCAGAGGGGATCCTCCTTTGTATGCCACGTGTTCGCATCTGAAAGAATCTAAAATTGGGGAATCCAGTAGATGGGAGGAATATTTACCATTTTCAGTGACCTGATGGTATTTGTCATAATAGTTGGCTTTGGGAAAAACCTTCAGATTCTGGCGTGCCGCCTGAAGTTGCAGCATGCAAGTGAGGCCTCCTCTGTGTCTGGTCACCCTCTACGTTCCAGTTTTTTACAAGGAGGCTGGAATAAGGTCGGGGTCCATGACTTTTCATTTTAATTTAGAAGCTTTCATCTTATTTCTTTATATTTATGGAAATGTAGACACCTCCAGGCCCCATCTTCTCAGCACTTGCGCCCCAGGGAGGTACACATTCATTATCTCTATGACTATTAAAGAAACACAGCTCTTGGCCAGGTGCGGTGGCTCACGCCTATAATCCCAGCACTTTGGGAGCCCAAGGCGGACAGATCACCAGGTCAGGAAGCTGAGACCATCCTGGCCAACATCGTGAAACCCTGTCTCTACTAAAAATACAAAAATTAGCTGGACTTGGTGGCACATGCCTGTAATACCAGCTATACGGGAGGCTGAGGCAGGAGAACTGCTTGAACCCGGGAGGCGGAGGTTGCAGTGAGCCGAGATCATGCCACTGCAGTCCAGCCTGGCAACAGAGCAAGACTCCATCTCAAAAATAAATAAATAAATAAGAAACACGGCTCTTTTACATTGTGTAAAAAAAAAGTTATGGCCGAGGGCAGTGGCTCACATTTCTAATCCCAACACTTCGGGTGGCCAAGGCTAGAGGATCACTTGAGGCCAAGAATTCCAGACCAGCCTGGAAACATAGCAAGATTCCATCTCTAGATATGTATATTATATCTATATACCATTGTTCAAAAAAGATACATAAATTAATTTCCATCATACCTTTATATGAGCTACCCAAACAGCTAGGAATTTGATTATGTTGCTCTTACTCAAATATACATTTTATAAATCCTTGATAACCATTGAGAAATGTTTAAGGAACCGGAAATGTCAGTTTTGAAAATGGTCTTCAAATGACTTTTGATCACATATTCCATCAGTAAAGAATTGTAGAAACTTCCCAATATATATGTTTATTTTAAGTCTATATATGCATACTATTTCATTAATATAAAATGTACATTATAAAACATATCCAAACTTATATGAAGAAGTTTTAGAGTAAAACTCTAACCAGAAGTCCTAATAGTTCCCCCATTTTTCCTGGGATATGGGCACCCCACCATGGAGACCACTGGGTTATAAAATTATCCAGCTTTGACTTTCAGTAACATAGCACTTTATCTAATCTCCTGGGGTTTTGTTTGATAATCCAAAAGTTCCAAAACAGTTTGATGTTCCTCAGCCGACGGATAGTTTATCATTTAATTTAGTGGTCCTCTTGATCTCAAGCATTTGCCTCCTGCTGGTTCTCTCTCCCTAGTCCCTTAGGGAGTGAACAGAGGTACCAGGGCACGGACACAAGGTGTGTTCTCAGGAAGACAGTGGTTGAGTCATGGAAGATAAATTTCTTTCCACCATATGAGCTATTTCAAAAGTATCTTCCTTGAGATTGACCTTGAGGCTACATTTCTAAAAGTGCACTGACTATTCTTTTAAAAAACTACTTACAAGCTGCTTTTAGGGCTGTGTGACATGCAGCGCAGTTGGACAGCTAAAAAATACAAGCTGTCAAGTTGTGCATTGAGAAATGAGCATGGGGACTATGAACCGTTTCCAAACCCATCATTGTGGATTGTTTGGCTGCCTGATCCAGAGCTTTCAATTTGTTGAAACTTAACTTCACCTTAAAAAATCTGACCACACAAGATGGCACCAGCAGCCACTCTGGCCTTTGATGTGGTGGCAGTGGTCCTCGCTGACCCCAGATTTACTAATGCAACTGCTACTTTGCCGCTCAGAACTGGCAAAGGTTTCTGTTTCTCATGACCCTTAGATGACTCTCTCTCTTTAGGAACAGGGGTGGGTGGGATTTAGAACATGTATTTACATTCTAATGTAAGTTATGTGGCCACCACATCATGGGGTCCCTTCAATTTTCTCAATGGTCTTTTAGGCAGAGCCAGTGAAGTGGAGGTGAAAAATGAAATCGTGGCGAATGTGGGGAAAAGAGAAATCTTGCACAGTACTGAGAAAGAACAACACACAGAGGACACAGTGAAGGACTGTGTGGACATAGAGGTATTCCATGCTGCTGAGAATACCAAGGACCAGAAATCCTCTGAAGACACTGCCCCATTCCTAGGAAGCTTAGCAGGTGCTACCTATGAGAAACAGGTTCAAAGCCAAATTCTAGGGAGCACATCTCTCCCTGAAAACACAGCACAGGCTGAGTCAAATGAGGTCATGAGTGCACCAGATGACAGAACCAGAACTCCCCTTGAGCCACCCAACTGTTGGAGTGACTTAGCTGCTGGCAGTCATGCAGAGAATGTGGGAGAGGCAGCGGTAACTCAGGTTGGAGAGCAGGCAGGCACAGTGGCCTCATGTCCTTCAGGGCGTAGTGATGACACCGTTTATCATGATGAAAAATGTGTGGTAGAGGTCCCCCAAGAGTTAGAGGCAAGCACAGGGAATAGTCTAGAGAAAGAACTCACCAACCAGGAAGCAGCTGAGCCCACGGAGGTCCCAATTCAGAGCACAGAAGAAGAGGGTGAAGGGACAGGATTAAGGGATGAGAAACCAACCAAGACAGAGGTTCCTGGTTCTCTAGCAGGAACCAAGAGCAATGGTCAGGAAGCAACAGGCCCAAGTACAGTAGATATTCAAAGTGAACCCTTAGATATGAAAGACCCTGGTGAAGAAAAGAATGACCAACAGGGAGAGGCATTGGACTCACCGCAGAAGAAGACAAAGAGCAAGAAAAAGAAAAACAAGAAGAAAAAATCCCCAGTACCCGTAGAAACCCTTAAAGATGCTAAAAAAGAGTTAACTTACCAGAACACAGATTTAAGTGAAATGAAGGAAGAAGAGCAGGTAAAATCTTCTGACAGAAAGTCAGTAGTGGAAGCCCAAAACGAGGTGACCGAAAATCCAAAACAGAAAATTGTAGCAGAAAGCAGTGAAAATGTTGATTGTCTGGAGAATCCTGAAATGAAGTTGGATGGGAAACTTGACCAAGAAGGTGATGATGTAAAAACAGCAGCCGGGGAGGTACCAGCTGATGGAGACACGTTAGATTTTGAGGATGGCACAGTCCAATCATCAGGCACGAGGGCTAGTGGTGAAGAATTAGATGAAGGTGTTGCAAAAGGTAATGCTGAAATAGATGGTGCCACTCAGAGCAGCCTTGTAGAACCAGAAAGCAAAGACGCAGATCGCTGCACCGGGCCCGAAAATGAAAGTCCCTCACAGGACATTAGGGAGGCCTGTGAAGCAGAAAGTACAGAGAGGTATGTGAGGCCAGAACATCCAAGTCAGACCGTCAGGAAAGCTTTAGACAGCAATAGTCTAGACAACGATGACTTGTCGGCACCAGGAGGAGAGCTGGGGGACTTCAACCCAGAAAGCAGAGAAGATACCACAGGAGGAAACGAGAAGGGCAAAAGCAAAGAAGACTGTACCATGTCCTGAGCTGAGGCAGGTGGCAGGCGTGGTGCACAGGAAGTCTGATTGTGAGGGGCTCTTTTATCTCCACGGGCAATGTAAGTAGAATGTTCTAAATTCATAGAGATGCACTGTATGACAATCACCAGGTGATTTACAGACTGTTACTTGTAGATTTCCATGTAATCATTGAGGTTATCACCATATTAGAAAGATACATCTGTTATCTGTGTGCATTCTAATTGAGAGCATTCCAGTAGTATTAAGTAATAATGTCTACTGTTTATAGTCCAGATAATAAAAATAGAGGCATTTCACATTTGCCTTAAGCTCTGATAGGGATGTGGATATTCTTGACCAAGTATATCAGCATCTAATTGAAATGACCAAATAGCATTCTTAGACTTCTGTATTATGAATATAATCGATATTTAAATTAATGTCTTATTCACATATGTGTACTTTCATATTTGATTTTAAAATGTGCATGACAACCTGTATGGTATTTTATTTAAAGGAGATAAACAGCCAAATAGCAAATAGGTCACTGAATAATAAGACTTGCACCTTAGAGCAATAATAATTTTAAGGATAACAAGTAAATGTCTGAAAGCACTAGGGGGTTATTTGCCTTTACCGCATATAAGTCTTTCATCTTGAACCGATGCTTTTGGATCTCATTATTGATGCTACCTGAATTTACCTTGTAGGAGATTTTACCTTCACTTTATGCTGATGACATATCAAATTCATTTTCATGAAGATTTCTTTTTAAGATTTTTCCGGAAGTGAAATATGTCAAAATTACATTTCCTATCCCCGTATTTGAGCAGGGACAGTCATTTTTAAAATGTTTTCAGCTGGGCATGGTGGCTCATGCCTGTAATCCCAGCACTTTGGGAGGCCGAGGCAGGTGGATCGCCTGAGGTCAGGAGTTCGAGACCAGCCTGGGCAATGTGGTGAAACCCTGTCTCTACTAAAAATACAAAAAATTAGCTGGGTGTGGTGGCGGGCACCTGTAATCCCAGATATTCGGGAGGCTGAGGCAGAAGAACCAAGATTGCACCATTGCAATCTAGCCTGGACAACAAAAGCGAAACTCCGTCTTAAAAACAAACAAAAAAACCATATTTTCACGCCTATAACCCCAGCACATTGGGAGGCCAAGGTGGGAGGATCACCTGAGGCCAGGAGTTCAAGGCTGCAGTGAGCTATGATTGCACCACTGCACTCCAACCTGGGAGACAGAATGAGACCCTGTATCTAAAAAAAAAAAAAAAAAAGGGTTTTGACCCTTAAAATTATTTCTCTTTCTGTTTGAATTTCTAATCATCATTCAAAAGAACAGTAAAAAAGATTACTTGTTCTTGTGCAAACTACTAATTAGACTTTAAGAGGATATTTTAAAAAGCTGAATCATTTTTGGTGTTTTGGTATAAATATTTTCATTTGTTATTTCTCAGTATATTCTTATTGGAAAATTCCTGTTTTGGTCAGCCTGAAGAAAATATCTATTTTCTATATAAAGAAGCATTTAAAAAGATAATTATAAAGTTATTTTTAAAATTGTTAAATATAAAATCACAAAGGAATGTACATTATGAATGTTGTTTACACTTTATGAAATTACATGGATTCATATTACTGTTACAAGATAGAATTGAATGCAAAAAGACCAAAACCTCAATAAAATTTGAGGAAAACATGTTATTAGGTAATTGAAATAAAAACATTTTATAATTGTACAAGCCTGTGGTTCCACTCTTTGGGCTGCTTGAAGTCTGAGTCTGGGTCTGGCTACTGTTGTGCATAGTACTACGTTTCCAGTAAAACCTGTTTGGGGTTGCTGATGCCCACTGGGGTTCTGTAGAAGACCCATGCCTGATGCCCTTCCTCAGTAAGGAAAGCACTTCCCTCCTGGTATCAAGCCTGGGGCTAGCATGGGCATTATTCGGAGAATTGAGACAACTGTGTGTGATCTGATGTGCAGTTCTCATGTGCAGCCTCAGTTGAAAACGGTCTTCATCTGTTGTGCTTAAATGCGCCAATACTTAGAATGTTTTTAAGAGTATAATGAAAACGGCAAAAACCTTGACTGTTTCTGCTCAAGTGTCCTGAAGTACAGGATGATGGGGATGATAGATAGGAAAACCTGAGGCTCACTAGGAAATCAAGTCCAAGGGCTCTATAGGACTTGACAGGGTTTTCGTTTGTCTCTAACTTTAGCAAAGCTGCATTTCTATTGGAATGCATGCTGGAAACAGCTCGCATTCCTCTCTTTAAAGGGCTCTAGGAACGTGGGTCAACAGCCAAGATCCCTAAATGGTGAGATCATCAAGCCATTTTAGGTTCTTTCCCATGTTGTTCACCAGCACCTTGCAGGACGCTGGACACACATCACATCCCTCAGCTCAGCCATCCAGCCATCTCAGGGATTCACCACTCATTTGTTTAATTATAAACACGTTTGATCACTTATGGAGGCCACTATGCCAGTGAACAAGCAGCTAGGACCCAGCCCTCCAGTGGGGAATGGACAGATGAAAATCAGTGAGCAAAAAAGAAGGGAAAAGAAAGACTTCTGAACACCCAAACACCAAATCATGTCTCAATGATTTCAGAGCCTTCATTCTGAGCATCAGTTGTTTGCTCTCCAGCGTAATGACTTTATAGCCAAGCACAGTAATTGGCATTACTGTGAAAACCCTTAACGTACCAAGAAATGGTTGAGGCTGGGCACAGTGGCTCACACCTATAATCCCAGCACTTTGTGAGGCTGAGGCAGGCGGATCACATGCACACAGGAGTTCAAGCTCAGCCTGGGCAACATGGTGAAAGCCCATCTCTACCAAAAAAAAATATATACAAACAATTAGCCAGGCGTGATGGTGTGTGCCTGTAGTCCCAGCTACTCAGGAGGCAGAGGTGGGAGAAACACCTGAACCTGGGAGGTTGGAGCTGCAGTGACTCCTGATCATGCCACTGCACTCCAGCCTGGGCGATGGAATGAAACCCTGTCTCAGAAAAAAGAAAGAAAGAAAAAGAAAGTTGACTTAGGTATACTCCATGTAAGAAGGCATGGAAATATATAAGGCAATTTAGAGAGATTTCAGCGTCAAAGACTCAGACTCAGAAAAGAATTGAAAGGTTGCCTGCCAGTCACATCCCCAGAGGAACCTAGGCCACTGGGGTTTCATTCTCACACAGAATAGAGAAAAACATTGGTTACTGACACATGAAATCAAAAAGCTTGGATATTTTTCAGTTCCAAACCAGAACATAGCTCCCGTATATAAATATGTCTTCCTTCAAAAGTAGAATTAAGTATAGTTATGGGTTGTCATACAAAGGTTGGGCAGCAATCAAGTTTTTAAACAGTTTTCAAGAATGTATGAACTTAAAAGAGATGTATGACCTTGATCACTTTTTGTCATTTTTAATATTTGCAATTAACAGAAGACCTTATGAACTGAACACTTAAATTTTCACCTTCACTAGGACCCCGAATGCTAATTCTGGGGAGTTTAGACAGTTTGGGTTTCCTGTTTTCTATTTATAGACTCCTTTTCTGGGAGACACCCCCCATCCTGTACAGCCAAGGGAATACAACAGTAAGATTTGTTCCAAACATCTGGGCCCCTAAGGGAAGGGCGTGGTGTTTGTGTGTGCATGTTTTATGTTCAGAATATGTACTTGTTCCATGTGATAGTCGTACATGGAAAAAACGTTGTCTTTCAAAAGGAAAATCCTTTTGTTCTTTCTCTTTGCCCCTATCTACTGCCTCTCCGAGATATTTTTCAACATGTGAATGGCTGGTGGCTGATACAGGGAAAATTTTTTCAACTAAATGGACAAAATAAATTTATCAGTGATGTGCCACTATTTAGTCAACAAATTAGACTGGCTGGTTTTTAATGCTATGAAAACCAGTACTGTTATTTTCTTCATGTCAAATTATTTTGCTTCATTCCTTTTTCCATTTTCTTGAAACTCTTTCCTTCTTGTTTTCTTCTCAAGCTTTAAAATTTCTTTTCTATAAAAGTTTCTTCTCTATTTTTAATACTCTCATGACTAAATGTCAGATTATCTTTATCGATTTTGCTTGCACTCATTACATTTTAACACTTATTTTCTAGTGCCTATCTAGAATATTTGAAGTCTGCTAGAAGAAAATAATAAAAGTTGTACGATAGATACTTGAGCTTCAAGACCACATTCAGATGTATTCAGTGTTTCTTATGATGCCTGTAGCTTTTGTATGTAGGAGTATTAAAACATGTAAGAAAATGAAAAGTGATACTGGACAAAAGAATCAGGTTTATAACTACAAAAATGTTTTGTTTCAGTGTTGGATGGGTTATGGGAGGGAAAGAGTAAAACATCTGTCAGAAGTAACTTGACTGTAAATTAAAATAGGACTCAAAAGGATCATAAATTTAATTTATATTGTGCTTAACATTATCTGGTGTTTTATTCCTTTCAAAACAACTTAGGATCTGTGGAAAACATAATTAGAGAAAAATGTAACTTGGATTAGCATGTGGCTAGATGATTTTTTAAATGAAAACGAACATGCATTTTATATGAATTATATTCTTTTCACATGGCTAATCAAGGTTAGTTTTTTGCCTTCTGTGAAGAATCTGGAGGTAGGCCACGTGAAAGCAGCGTCCCAGTAGGCTAAGAGCTTTGAGTCAGGGTCTGACTCAGATGTGAGTTTAGATCTGGAAAAACAGTGGCTGCAGTGGTTAGGGGCGTGTTTCTGTGCCTGGGCTGTGAGGCCTTAAGAAAGTTGCTTAGTGATTCTGGGCCACATCTATAGAAGGAAGAATACTGTAATGAATCCCACCCATAGGGTTTCTGGGGCCGAAACAAGCTCATGATGTCAAAGCTGCTAGAACTGTACGTGTGTCAGAGAGAGTGCGCAGCACACGTAATCATCACTGCCATCACTCCAGCATCCGATGGTGCCTTTAAACTGATGGGGGATTTTGCCCAAAACTCTAAACCCTCCCCAAACCTTGGTTTCCCCCCTCATCCGAAGAATATAGTACTTGACACTCCTTCAGAGAGATGTTTGGAATTTATAGATGCTTACATATATGGATCCTTACACATCAGGGGCAAGAGGAATTATAGACACTTAAACCATTACTGCCTTTTTCCTCCAAAGAACAACAGCTTGATAACTGGGTTAGCAGACGTGCTAGTGGACTTAGGTTATAAACAGATAGTCACAACACTGACATCGATGAGTCTATGAGAGAGATTAGAAAGATAAATACATCTGGGATGTAAAGGCGAGGCTGATCAAAACATTGGTGCTATTGAACTGCGATTCTCGGTGTTTGTACATTGCTAATGATGTTAAACCATGAAGCCTGTGAGATCTTGTGTTGCAGCGTGGTTTGGCCCTAGCATTCTTGCATGCTAACCTAAGGTAGAAGATTAGCAGCCTGTTTGCATGCAGCCGGATGCTGCCCTGACGTGAAGCATGTTCTGGGAGGTTGACCCAACCCCCCTTGGCTGAATTCTTCCCCCGTCCTGTCTGTGGCCTCATTCACCGTGGTACGTGTATAACTACTTTCATCATTCATTTCACTAACCTGAACTATCATTCTTCAGTTTCACAATGTGCTGAAAGGCACGGCACATGGATTCACCTAAACCTGTGTCTTTCTGATTTCTTTAGATATTAGGCTGAAAAAGCTGATCGATGAACGGGAATGCTTATTGGAACAGGTAACAATCTTTTTATTAGTTCACCGGCTCTTGAACAGGGCACCTGAAACCACCTGCCTATCCTTTCTTCTTGCTTACTCAGAAAACCCCTAAGTTCATCATGTCTGAAAGTAATTATCAAGCCAACTGGTGTTCTTAAGAATATTATCCAAATAGAACAGAAAGTTGATATTTTAATCATAAGAGAACATCCTGAGTCATACCAGGCTTAATGAGGATGGCTCAAAGTCTCAAAGCCTTG